CCTGACCCAGATCGAATCCTACATAGACAAAACGAAACACGAAAGCGAGGCATGTGTAGAAGATACCCAACCCTCCTACATATGTCAGTGGAAAAATCCTTTTCCATCGCTCCAACAATAATGCATGCATATAGGATCTAGAACCCCCATCCTCAAAGCATACTCCAAGGGGTGAGGGCAAGAACGCGGCGCTCCCTAAGCCATGCAGAATATGCAAGCATACCTGCTGCAAAGTTCGAATTATTGCGCAGCAATTCGCGAGTTTCTACGGTACACGGTATCTAAGTAAAAGACAGCTTCCGCAGGTACAGCTGACTACTTGCAACTAAGAACAGATGCATGAAACAAGCCAATCGTACATTGCATCGCAGCATGTACATATTTCAAGTTAAAAAAAAAAAAATAGTTAGAGGAGTTGATGTTGGAGAGAGGTGGGGAACGTTTCATAGCATCATCTACGTTCTTAATCAAAAGGTTGAAAAAAGTTGATGTTCAAGAAGTTTGGGAAACGTTTCGAGACAATGTACATCTACACGTCAGGTATCTTCTAGTCAAAAGCTCCAAAACATTCCGCAACCCAAGTCAGTTTTCGGGAAGGGAACAACCTTAGTTGCCTCCCGGGATGCCAGGGGCAATCTCAGTTCCCTTCCAAAAGAGAGACAGACATGGAAGGAACAACAAACAACCTCGCTGTGGAGTTCAAGGGATGGAAAGAATGAAGGGACGGAAAGAAGCAAGAGAAGATGCACCGGATGGGAATCCCACGATTCCCATTGGAAGGAATTACATGTGATTCAGATATTATGGGGCACCGCCAAGATTTCAGTGAAGCATTGACTGTTTGAATCAATACAGAGCGTAACTTCCGTCTTTGGAGCCAACAACACAAAACTCGGGGGTCTTGGGCGACGTCTGCGGACTGGGATCAAATTCAGGCATGTACCTTGGTGCAGGTACCTTATTTATGTATGTATGCCAGAAGGGAATTGGGGTTCAGACCATCATCGTAGCAAGCACAGGGCATTGCCCCAACAGCAGCTTAAAGTACATACATCTTCAAGTTGTTATAAGTGATGTTATCCGAAGATCTACACGTCTAGACCTGGAAAAGCAGCGACTGTTGAAGGAGAACTTGGTCCGGCGACATGAATGCGGGATGTACACACTCCTGACATATTGCAGCTTCGGGCCGGGGAGACAAAATGCATCGATATGTACGTACATACCTCAGCTCGATGGCAAAGGTTCAACGACGACGAAGGAATCTGACGTCTTTTACTACCTAGTACTGTAGTAAATCGTTCATCATTCAGCTCACAGCTGTGCTTTCCTCTTGATGTGTTGTTGAATGGCGATAACAGCTGAACAACGACGAGCCCCGCGGGACCTGTCAAGCTGATTGCCGGAAGCCCCTGCTCGTTTTCTTCACTCAGCTCACCGAAAACAGACAATCCGAGGAGAGAAGGGTACACCCAGCCGGTTGCGATTCCGTCTTTCAAATTTTATAAAAAATTGGTGGCGGCCCTGGCAGGCGGGCGTACCTACGTATGTGGGTGCGCTGCCGAGACAACTCGAATCCAGTCGGGTCGCGGCTTCTTACATAATTCTTATGCACTACTCTAACACGTGGGTTTTTTTTCGCCTCGAGTTACCAAAGAGAGTTGTTTACGCCGTTCTCGCTGTGGCCCCGAAATTATTACGTTCAATAAGTGTAGTGTGCAAGCGGAGTCGCAAAGATTCGCGTAGACTCGCGAATACATGAGGTATGTACATAGTGGTGTTGTACGAGACATTCAGGTTTTGTTGGTCTGGGGGTTAGGTTCTCGGTTGTCGTGGATGTCTTGGTTAAAGTTCGTTTGCCACCCTACCTACCGGCGTACTCTCCAATTTTAAGGTTTGCCCCCTTTTGGACGGCCCAACCGGCGACAACGTGCGAGTCGTAAACGGGCGGGACAGAGTCGAGAACTGAATTGAGAGACGCGAAAAGAGAGCTCAACATATCCACGTTGTTAACCCCTTTTTCCTGGTGTGTCACTGATGTGTCACTGCGAATTGCGAGTTTGTGATATTTGGGGATGCCATGTTAGATATGCTAGGATGCCATGACGGTGCCCGGTGAATTTTATAACTGTCATTGATAGCTTCGGCAAACCCTGTCATTAAGTTGTTTCTTTCCTTCCCAAGAATTCCCCGAGATTGGATCCAAGTGTATTTGGAAAAGCCGAGGCGTTTCTGTAATCTGTGGCTGAAGAAATATGATGGATGAGATGGGTAATTTCACCGCATAGACATCGTGCTCTGAAATTGGATGGGAATGGATAGCGGATTGGGATGAATTAGGATGGAAAATGGGAATCCCAGATTACCGGCAGCAACACCGGCAGTGATGAAAACAATATATTTCGTTACAAGATAGGTAGCTCCAACTCCATTTGTTCGCTTGGAGGATACCATAGTAGAGCTTGTCCGCCCTTTACGGTCAAGGCACAGTTTGTGAATTACCATACCATACCAGTCTCTCTCGGGATAATACGTCCGGACCATACCATCCGGTTCCTGGGTTGCGGACCAACGGCGTCGAAAAGCAGGAACCATGAGATGGAAGAAACAGGGGAGGTAGATCGTCGTGAACCGGTCCCTCGATCATCCGTTAGGTCTTTCCCATCGATCGACCCGCCTCCCGTCTTCTAGAGACACATCCGCGGGCGAAGTTCCGCGGAAGGCGGTGATGGCCATAATTCGTGTGATGATTGTGCACTGCTTCCACTTGTTGTCCACCGGCTCCCGTCCTCTTCACAAGTCACAATGCCAAAGTCAAGGTCAAGGCAGCAAACTGTTCGGTGCAGGAACAACCGAGCTAGCCTGTTTTTGGTAAATATAGGTAGCCAAGTCTTTAGTGTAAAGCGTCTGCTGCGATGCGCTTGACCCACAGTGCGCACCCGTCACGACGCAGCCTGGTGCATTCAGCACTCACCTGGCATCGAACAAGAAAACAGGAAAAAAAAAAAGAGGCGATGCAGAGGGACTCGACCGCAAAGCTACCTAACTTTCCGTATACCTATATCTGTCCCCTCCACCCCCCAGCACCCTCATCACCATTCACGAATCGAATTTGACCAATTCCAGGATCGTTTGCCGCACTTCTTGCTGCTAGTTAAGCGAGAGAGTGAGACATTGACCAGAGACAATGGACGGTGTTTGCTTGTGCCACCGCCTGGTGAGTGTCCTAGTTCAGCAAAGTCAGCAGCTGGCGAACAAGTTGATAACTTCTCGAATCAAAAAGGCGCTAAAAAGGTAAGCCCCAAAAAAGGCTGTTGGAACTTAACCCTTTTCAGCTCTCTATCGATACGCGAGTGGGGTATGCTGTTGCTTTGGCTGACAATGATTGGTTGCTTGTCTTGGTTCCGGGCCTCATCCCGGGTGGAGTGGACTTTTGTGGAGACCCACTCAGTGACCAAAGGTCGTCGGTTGGTTGCACGTGTCCCGAGTCTTGGCGCCCCCGTCCCCGGCTGCGTTGGAGCCCTTTCCTGCCCCGGGCGTTCCTGTTTCCTTCCCTGTCTCGTCTTTCCGTGGGAGACAGACAAGTGACACTGAAGTTCTGGGCGTAAATTGTGGGGATTCCAAGTGGTTACATAAGCCTGGTGCCCGCCCGAATTCCTCACTTGGGCTCGGCTCCAGCCGGTCAGTCCCTTCCATGATCATCATACGATTCTGTCTTAAATCGTCCCACCCGTAACCCCATCGCCCCTTCCACTCCCGACACCACTTTCCTTCCGCGCATCAGCTCACTCAAACAATTCGACATTTGCGACGCCGCGGGAGAGAGAGCGTGTGAGACTGGAGTGAGCCAGCAAGACGCCAAACCGACCGACCGACCGACTGACCGACGCTCACATTGTGTGAAAGTCAATCGTCGCAGACACTAGTATCGAGCTGAGGGGATCTCACTTTCGAAACCCCGAGACGCGGTCCAAGCTCCCTCACAGCGCCTGACCCGTCCCGGAACACCCACTCATCCATCCATCCATCCATTTGTTCATCCACTTCACCCCTTACTACCATTCATCATTGGCCCACCTTGTTCGCCAGAGGGAAGCCAAGAAACAGGGAAAAGGACAAAGTGTTGAGAGAAGACTCGGAAACGAAACCAAAGAAGTGACAGAGGGAGGGAAAACCAGGTAGAGGCAACCCCACTCTATTCGCGACTTTCTAGTCCTTGACGAAAGAAAAGCGAAACTCGGGCTTGAAAGTCAGACCGCGCCTTAGGAAACATCGAGGTTGCTGTGGTCGTGGTCTTGAAGTTGATGTAAAAGAGTATAGTGCTGCATACTATGCGTACTATAGACTGACTTGCAGACCGACGACTGCCATTGTCCAAGTCTCCAGTGCGCAGTGCGACAAAAAAAGGGTATTATTCTCCAGTTGAGGTTGTTGCTTTTTGCTGCATATTCTGGGCGGCACTGACAGCAAGCAAAGTTGCGGTGCAGTGCGTGCAGATAGCGGAGCGGGACCAGCACACGAAAGGGTCGCTTTTTCTTTTCTTTTCAACGCAGCTTCAACGCACGTACTTGGCTTTGGTTTTGTCTCCAATCAGGGAAATTCACAATCTCCAATTCCGGAAGCAGGAACAGCCGCCCTTTTCCCGCTCAGCAACGCGAATTGCAAAGGGAAAAAAAAAATCGCAGAAAAGGGCAAAGGTAAAGAGGCGGATATTGCTCATCATTCAGTTATCGGCCATTGCCGGAAACAACCTAAGAGACGGAGACGACAACCGAGCGCACGCGCCAACCCGCTTCCATACCTTGCGCCTGGCTTGCTTGCCAAACACACCACGCAAGGACGGACGGACGGGACTCGGAAGGGCTCGATTCACATCCCGCCTGCATGCAACAGCCCATCACTGTACAAATCCGTCTGATCTGAGGGGGTCTCGGGGTACAGCAATCAGATCCAGCATCAGCCAGCATTACTACCGAATACCAGCATCTTAACGACCCAAAATGGCCGATCCCGATGCTGACTCGCCCGGCCGCTTCCAAGGAGGTCTGGACAGCTTCGACATCAGCACCCCGTTGCAGCTGGACGAGCCCACGCTCGCACGCCACGGCTCCCTGAACGCTAATGTTAACGACACGGTCACCAGCTCCGATCCCACCTCTATTCCCTCCTCCCTGGCCGACACTTCGAGAGCCTCAACCGGTGGTGGGCCGACTCGGCAGTATCCGAACCACTCCCCCCCGATAGGCCATCACCAGCAGCCCAATGCCTACCATGGTAACGGCATCAGCCCTCAGCAGCAGTACCAACAGCAGCAGCAGCAACAACAACAACAGCAGCAGCAGGCCTTTGATTTTAACCAAGACAACATCTCCAACTGGGACCTTCGGGACTCTCCTCCGTTTAATTCCGGCCCTGACTTCAACAACTTCGGCCAGGTACCGCACGGGCTGAACATTCCCCAGAGCTGGGACCTTCCTGTCCACTTTAGTCTCAACTCTCAGGGACTCCAACAACAGGGGCAACCGGGACAGCAACAGCAAGGCCAGTTCTATCCCGACACGACCGGTGCTGGCATCGATCCCGGTATCTATGCCGCTGCCCTTTCCATTCCTTCGCCACAGCAACAATCGGCCGAGCCCATCTCCGTTCGCACCAACATCAACCCCAACATCCGCCACAAGCTGACTCCAGCCCAGCAAGAGAGGCTCAAGACCATCGCCATGCCGCCTCATCTCCAGTACCACTCGCCCAAGAGCGCCGGCAGTCCCGATTCCAACGCCAGCATGGGCCACGATAAGGGTTCCGCATCCTCACCAGACGGCCTCGAGCTGTCGAAGCCAAATAGTAGAAAACGAAAGTCATCCGACGAGGTCGACGAGGATGACGATGACGATGATTTGGATGGACACCAACCAGTAAAGAAGACGGCGCATAACATGATTGAGAAGAGGTATAGGACAAATTTGAACGACAAGATTGCAGCGCTGAGGGACAGCGTGCCTGCCTTGAGAATTATGTCAAAGAGTGCTAGGGGAGAAGATACGACGGAAGACAGGGAGGAACTTCATGGATTGACTCCGGCGCACAAGTTAAATAAAGCTACGGTATGTAGCCTCCACCACCCTGCGTCATGCACGCTCCAGGGGCATGCTGCTGACATGTGAGATATCCAGGTTTTGAGCAAAGCTACGGAATACATTCGGCATTTGGAGAAGCGAAATAACCGCTTGATTGAGGAGAACAACAGCATGCATGCGCGAATCGCTGCATTCGAGAAGCTGTTCATGGCCGGTGCCATGACCGGCATGACCAACCCTATGCAAGCCCCGCCTACGCCCATTCAATACCCTCAAGACGTTGCAGCGTTCATGAGCACCCCGATGCAGACGCCTCGGGGTCCAGATCCTCCGGGGCTAATCCCGATACCGGACGACATGAAGCGCATCTTGACGGCTCAACAGATGAACGCTGGACGACCGTATCCGGTGGGCCCACCGGCCCTACAGCCGGGATTCGTAGCCAATCCGGGCGTCATTCGCAGACAACAAATACAACAACAGCAACAGCAACACCAGATGCAAGGGCGGTGGAATCCTTATCTCGGAAAGATGATGGTGGGTTCGCTGGCCGGACTGATGCTCGTCGAGGCAACCATGGAGCAAGAAGTCAGCAATGAAACGACCGAGGGACGTGGTCTCTACGCTCTGCCGCTACAGCTTATCGGATCCTTTATTCGCTCGTCGCACCTCAGCGTTGGAGGATATTACATTTCGGCCATTGAAATCATAGCCAAGCTCAAACTTCTTTTGCTTGGCGCTCTTCTCGTATGGACAGTTTTCCCCCACAGCTTTTTCGACGCGCCCAAGTCGGAGAAGCCAAAAGGCCCCACTTCTGCGGTTCAGGCCGTGCCCTCGCTTGCCTCGCCAATTCACGTCAGGAGACAAGCCTGGCTCACGGCTATTCAAACGGTTTGGGTGCCACGACACAATTTTTTGCTCGAAGCTGCTGCGTTGTTGCTCAAGACGCTCAAGTTCACCCTTCGCAATGTGTTTGGTGTAGGGACTTATCTGTGGATGACGGGACTCAGCGAGGAACAAGAGGCCGCTCGTGTCAAGGCCTGGACCATTGCGTTGGATGCCCAGCTTGCCGGCGGTGATGTCGAGATCAATAGGAGCCGTCTCACTCTCACGCTGCTCGCTTCGGGCACCCTCCCCGACACTCCCCATCGTTTGATGCTCAAGGCACTTCACACTCGGGTCTTGCTTTGGCAGTTGAGCAGCAAATTTTCGCTTGCTAACCTTCCTGCGGCCAAGATTGCGAGGTCGAGGTGGAATGAGGCCAGACAGCTGAACATGATCCTGCAGCGAACTTCCACTAGCCCTGAAGATGTCCTCCCGGAGCATCTGGCCACCCTTCTCGAGCAGGACTGTGATGACGTTCTCAACAATAGCATCGTGCAGAGAGCGCACAACCTCGCCTTCAACCGCCCCACGACCTTCAACCTGGTAGACCGAACCGACGGCATGAACATCGTTGTCGAAGACCCCGCCGTTCGTTCGCCCATGGATGCCGTCGCCGCGTGGTACTCAAGCTCCATCCTCCAGCGCGTCCTCCTCTCCAGCCTCGCCAGAGCCCAAGACGGCATCACCGACGCCACTCAGGAAACCATTGACGAAATTGCCCTCGCTGCCAAGATTGCCCCCATCGGTTCCAACGCCTACCTGCGTGCCCTTGTGGCCCGCGCCGTCCTCGTCTCCGAGAAGCGCGGCGTTAGCATTGCCGCCGCTCTCAAGGCCTCCGACCCCTCCCTCAACCCGGACAAGCACCCCGAGTATGGCCGTGGCGTCCCCCCGCTTATCGACTCCCCCATGGCTCAGATCGTTCCTGATCACGACGCCCTCATGGCCCTCCAATACGCCATGCGCATCGCCCATCTCCAAAAGTTCCCCGACCCGCCGAAGCAAGCGATCGCGTTCCTCAACTCGATCCTTCCCGGTGGGACGGACCAGTCCAAGCACGAGGGCATGTCGCTTCTGGCGTGTACGGCGGCTTACTGCCTGATGGAGTTGCTGGAGAGGCACGCGGTCTGTAGGGAGCAGTGCTCCGGTGCGCTGGAACGCTTAGCAGGCGCGCTGAGGATTTGGGTCGGAAGTTCGCAGGGGGAGCAGGTCGGTCTAGATGGAAAGATGAGACAGAAGATGACTGGCAGGTGTTCGTCGATTATCAAGTCGGTGATAGGTATGGAGAATGATCCGGGGTATGGGAGCATGAGTGATTGTGAGGAAAAGGAGGAAGGAGGGTGTTAGCTTCAGGCGATGCCCTCCTGTGATTGATTTGTTTTGTTCCCCCAAAGTTATTGGCTTATATATGTCTGCCTGGGTTTATGGCATGGACACATTACGACTTCATATTCTGGCGGTCATTTCTTTTTCCCCTCTGCTTTTAGCAAAGTTGAGAACATGCGCGAATCTGATTGATTTCGTCTCTTTGTTCATGTCATTGAATTTGCTGTCATCTGGCCCCTTGAACATCGCTACTCCACTTTATCCCTTTTTTTTGCCTGTCCATGTCTTTTTATATCTTCTATTTTTCTTTTTTCCCCTTCTGTACCGTCATACTAAACGAATTATGGAGGACCAGGTGGAGGAAAAGCTTTCAAAACGAAATGTTACCCTTGAGGTAATTCAATGGTGGGCGGCGCGGCAGTAAGATTTTTGACTCTGTCGTCATGGCTCGCAAATGTGTATTCCATCCCAATGTGTGGCGGCAGCCAGTCAGCTCTTTGCACGAATACGAAGTTTTAGAAGCAAGGGGAGCTGTGCTGGCTGTTGTCTGAGCATACGTTGGTATTGATACCCTAAACGCTACGTTTACGTTTTTTGTCAAATTGGGTGTTTCTGTTCTTTTCTTCATTTATGTTTCCTTTCCTTTTTTTTTTTTCCCCTTCCAAAAAGTTCTGCAAGCGCTGGGAAGAATGGGAAGAATGGGGGAAAGCGCCGGAGTTTTGTGTGTATGTTTTTAGGTACTTATATTGCTATGGTCGGTAGTTTAGGGAATGCAAGGCAAGGGAAGGAAAGGGAAGGTGTCAAGGAGAGGGAAGGGAAAACTTAGGTTGGTAAACGGTGTTGTTGTTAGAATTTTTTTTTTTCTTTGACGAAATGATATTGAGAATTGTATTGCACTTGGATGTCGTAGAATGCTCGTGTGTAAGGAACGTGATCTGGGGCGAGATCAGATAGTAGATGAGGCAAAGTATGTAGGTACTCTATGGGTACGTAGATAAACAATTCGATGGGTAAGGTGAAGGAGGCTATCAAAACGAAACAGCGGGAAGGAATGATGCAATTACTGTGTAAGGCCTTTGGAGGGTCCGCCTCTAAGTAGTGTAAGGAAACGAAACAAAATAAAGTTAAACGAAGAAGAAAACGGAACAAAACACCGTGAGGATCATGACTGGCTGGATGAAACGAACGGAAACGGGAGGGACAAGATCGGATGAAACAAATGGAGAAGGGAAACCGGGGATGACGTCGAGAACTCGGTCGTTAACGCGATTCTCCGACTGTTGAATCGGGGATTACCTGACGAACCCACGGAACCGGGACGAGTGCCCTGCGCGGGACGGAAGCCGAAGCGGAAGCGGAAGTGGAAGTGGAAGCGGGGACGGAGAAAAAAAAAAGGGGCCGGGCTAGATATTTCATCCGGTCGGTGGTTGATGAAGTGGGTTTTGGATTCGACGACAGAGGATTTTTATATCAACTGGCTACGATTCAAACGCCTATCTGCCGTATCGAATTTATGCCTACGATTGCCATTCACACGTAACATAGAGGCCGTGATTACAAGGCATACATAGACGCTGTTACGCAAATCGAAGGGTTGGGAATTCTTGAGCTGTCCCAAGCTTATGGTAGTGTTCTTTCTAAATGTGTGCCAGACCGTGACTTGTCCACGGCCCTACGGTTGGGCCTCCTATTAATTCCATTGTGCAGACTGAACATTTACGGCCTGCCGCAAGTAAAAGGATCAGTTCATAGTCAGCTCTTCCTCCTCTGATGACCTTGTCATGATGATCAATGGCAACAACGGTAGGCCTCATCGTGGGCCTCGTCGTCATCAGTCGCCTCCGGCCGGCGCTCCTGAACACAGGGTTGCTGCCTTTTTATTTCTTTATTTCTCCTGCCTTCCCTCCACTTCGTTGAACGCCGCCTGTCTGACGGCCCTCAGCTGCCTGCCTGCCTGCCTGCCTGCCTGCCGCGTGCACATGATGTTGTCAAGTCGTCATTGGTTGCTTCTGTGAGTGCTGCTTTGTCATTTGCGAAGGAAGCAATGAACAAAGTGTTGGGTGCTTGTTGTTTTCAGTTGACAAAGGGCATACATATCACTGCTCTTGACATAGTAGAAGATGTAACTGAGGAAGTGATTTGAGTACTATGTACCATACCGATAACGCAAGAGTCATTAATGAGGGGTTTTCTTCATTTGAGCAACCTGGCGAGTCTCTGTTTCTGTTACGGTTGCACAAGAGGATGATGATTCCTCGTCATTGCTCTTTGCACATTGGTGGTTTGACCAAGCATCGCCGACGCAGTGACGCTTGTGGAAAAGCTTGGCATGTACTAGGGTCCGGTCCAATCGTTTGCAACTTGCCTTTTGAGCAGCACTCTGCTGTGCATCTCTGTTAGCAGTCCCATAGTTTACAAGGCAAAACAGTAACAAGTTCTCATGGTAGTAACCCCCTCATCTATTCCACTTGCAACCGGTCCGGGGGAGGGGCGAAAACTCCATAGTATTACCACCAACAAACAATGGCTATTCACTATCAACCACGTCGCCGCACTCGATAGGCATCCATGTTTCCTGCGGGCGGCCCGACAATCTGTCCAATCCGTTTGCTCCTTGTTTCCCCGCCGCTCAGTCCAACCCACTGCTCGAGCGAGTTTGCGAGTAGATGCGAGTCACTGAGGTGATTCCTGTTTCTTTCGGCGGCAGACAAAACAGCGATACAGTGACGCAAAACGGTCGAGGGGAGGGGCAATTCATTTCATCCTGTCTCTCCGTTTTTCGGTGGGAGCTCCCGCCCAGTGAATGGCTTCACCACTTGCACTCTCACCGTCAACAGCTGTTGTCCTACCACAACTTCCTTGTTACCAACATGCCGTGCCGTTGATCACTGCCTGCCTGCTGTTAATCAGCTCGTTACAGCCCGTATTGGACGCTACACCTGACCCACCTGCTAGCTCGAGGATTCAGGTGGTGCTAAGGGTACCTTCTACTAGGTCATGTGGGGACCTTGAACCATCGGGCAGCTACAAGCTCAAAGCGTCTGCAATGCGGGATGCACCGCGTCTCACGGTTCTTTTGGGGTATAAACAAAGGTTGTGATTGGTCTAACGCGCTAACTAACGGTGTGCCACCGTGACTCCAATCTAAATACCGTGTCCTATGGTCCGTGCGCTAAGACGCACCTTCCACGTCCATACCTACAGCGGGCGCGTTCCTCCTGCAGCTCAACGGTGCTGTTAAATAGAACACGGCATCCACAACAACCCTCTCGCAAAATTTCCACAAGGCATCCCATTTTCTCTACCTGACACCTAGGTACTAAGTAGTCTGTCTGCCTACAATCGTCAGCCTTATCGACTTTCTGCTCGCGGATCCGCGTAGCACATCTTTTCTTTTTGCTTTTTGGTTATCCATAACCTGGGCTACACCTTTCTTCGCTCTCTCTCTCTCTCTCTCTCTTTTTCGCTCTAGAGACCTACTACCGATCATCATTTTCTGATATCGATACATCATCCAACAACAACAACAACATCATCTACTACCAGTAATCCCGCATTGGAGGAGTAGTCGTTTCGCTCGATTACTCTTTTTTTGCGTCCGGAGTGCGACAAAGTAGCGGCTTATAACAACAAAGTCCAAGTTTGAAAACCATCATTCCGTGGTATTTCTCTCTTGGCAAACCCACGACAATCCCCTTCCACGACAAACAAACAACCTACCTTACCTATCCTCTTGCTTACCTACGTACCTGCCTACCTACCTACCTCCCTCTCTGCTCAACCAACCATCCCATCAACCGAACCGAACCGAACCGAACAATAGCCGAATAAGCTCTCGTGCCTTGTTGCTCTACTCGACCATCTGTTACCACCAGCACTACAAGTTTAACAGTCATGTCTGACAATCGTGGCGGTCGTGGAGGTCGTGGCGGCGGTGGTCGCGGCGGCGGCGGCGGTGACCGTGGAGGCCGTGGAGGTGGTTACCAAGGCGGCGGTGACCGTGGAGGCCGTGGAGGTGGTTATCAAGGCGGCGGTGATCGTGGAGGCCGTGGAGGCGGTTACCAAGGTGGTGGTGACCGTGGAGGCCGTGGAGGCGGTTACCAAGGCGGTGGCGGCGGTGACCGTGGAGGCCGTGGAGGTGGTTTCCAAGGCGGTGGTGGCGGTGGTTTCCAAGGCGGCGGTGGAAGGGGTGGCCGTGGCGGCGGTTTCCAAGGCGGCGGCGGCGGCGGCGGCCGTGGTGGCTTCGGCGGAGGACAGGGCGCGGGAGGATACGAACCCCCTCCACCGGATGTCTACAAGTAGGTGCCTCTCCATTTTTGTACCATTCAACATGATGCTGACATGACTTTAGGGGAATTGACGGTCGTGGTGCCCCCGAGCCTGACGCCCAGATCACCAAACTCGAGGATGATTGGATCAAGAAGCATGTCAGCGACAATCTGGTCACTTCAATGAGCAAGCTTTCGCTCAGCGAGAAGGAGAAAGCCAACAACTTGCCGGTTCGCCCTGGCCATGGTACCACGGGCGAGAAGGTGAAGCTTTGGGCCAACTATTTCAAAATCAACATCAAATCACCAGCCATTTACAGGTACACCATCAAAGTTGCCGCCACCGAGGAAAAGCTCGGAAAGGAAGCTGAGGTCGCATCCAAGAAAGTGGAGGTGGTGGTTGGGAAACTGCTCAAGCAGATCGAAGCCAACGTGAAATCCGTGGCGATTGCCAGCGATTTCAAAGTGCACCTGGTGACGACCACCAAGCTCAAAGTTCCCGAGAACCGCATCTTTGAGGTGACGTGGACCGAGCCGAGTTCCAACCAAAACCTGCCCAGCAAGCCCCAGACTTGGGTGGTCAAGGTGGAGGAGAGTGTCGAAAACTGCGATTTCGGCAAGGTGCTGAACGAGCTCACGACACTTGATCCCAAGCTCGACGGAGACTTTCCCAAGTACAATGTGGAGCTCGATGCCCTCAACACCATCGTGACTCATCATGCCCGCGCCGACGACAATGTTTCGGTGGTGGGAAGGGGAAGGTTTTTTGCCATTGGCGATGACCTCATTGAACAAGTGCGGCCCCACGACTCCCCTTTGGTCATCTTGCGAGGATATTTTGCCAGCGTCCGTCCAGCTACCGGAAGACTTTTACTCAATACCAACATCACGCATGGTGTCTTCCGTCCTGGTATCAAACTTGCACAGCTGTTTCAGGAACTTGGACTTGACGTAATGGACAAATGCAATGCCTGGAACGAAGTAACCAAAAATCAGCTCAACGACAAGATGCGCAGAGTTCACAAGGTCCTGGCGAAGGGCCGTGTCGAGGTCAATGCCCCATTCCTTGTTGATGGAAAGATTGTTTATAAAAAAGGTTACCGCACGCTCAATGGCATTGCTAACCGTGGCGACGAAAGGGGGAAGCAAAAGGATGGCAAAGAAGTCCGACATCCGCCATTGTTCGGGATTCCGGGTGTCCAGGTTGGCGGCCCGACCTCTGTTCAGTTTTACTTGCGTGCGCGAGAGACAAAGGATGGCGCTGCCCCTCCTCCGACTCCCGGTCTGCCGAGCAACGCGTACATCACGGTAGCGAACTACTATAAACAACGGTACGGAATAACCGCCAATGCTTCGCTTCCTCTGGTCAACGTTGGCAGCAAGGAAAAGGCGATTTACGTCTTGGCCGAGTTCTGTACGCTGGTCAAAGGCCGTTCCGTCAAGGCTAAGCTGAATGCCAACGAGGCGGACAACATGATCAAGTTTGCTTGCAGAGCTCCTTCGCTGAACGCTCAGTCTATCGTGACGAAAGGTAGACAGACACTTGGTCTTGATAAAAGCCTGACGCTTGGCAAGTTCAAGGTTTCGATCGACAAGGAGCTGATTACCGTTATCGGGCGTGAGCTCAAGCCCCCGATGCTTACGTACAGCGGTAACAAGACGGTAGAGCCGCAGGACGGCGGGTGGTTGATGAAATTTGTCAAGGTGGCCAGACCTGGCCGCAAGATTGAGAAGTGGACATACTTGGAATTGAAGGGTTTCAGAGAAAACGCAGGGGTGCCGCAAGCTATGACCGCTTTTGCCGAATTCCTGAACAGAACGGGCATCCCGATCAACCAAAGGTTCTCGCCGGGCATGAGCATTCCAGTTCCAGGGAGCGAAAAAGAGTTTTTTGCCAAAGTGAAGGAACTCATGAGCGCGCACCAATTTGTGGTGGTTCTTTTACCCAGAAAGGATGTTGCGATCTACAATATGGTAAAGCGGGCTGCCGATATCACATTTGGCGTTCATACAGTCTGCTGTGTAGCCGAAAAGTTTCTTAGCACTAGAGGGCAGCTGGGGTATTTTGCCAACGTCGGCCTCAAGGTCAACCTCAAGTTTGGCGGCACGAATCACAATATCAAGACGCCCATTCCTCTACTCGCCAAGGGGAAGACGATGGTGGTGGGCTATGATGTTACCCACCCGACCAATCTAGCGGCTGGACAATCGCCTGCATCGGCTCCCAGTATTGTTGGCCTGGTCTCAACCATCGACCAACACCTTGGACAATGGCCTGCAATGGTTTGGAATAACCCGCACGGCCAGGAGTCCATGACGGCACAGTTTACGGACAAGTTCAAGACGCGTCTGGAACTATGGCGCAACAATCCCGCAAACAACCGCAGTCTCCCCGAGAACATCCTGATTTTCCGCGATGGCGTCTCCGAGGGACAGTTCCAGATGGTCATTAAGGACGAGTTACCTCTGGTTCGCGCCGCCTGCAAGCTGGTGTATCCAGCTGGCAAGCTACCGCGTATTACGCTGATTGTCTCTGTCAAGCGCCACCAGACGCGCTTCTTCCCAACGGACCCGAAGCATATTCACTTCAAGTCCAAGAGCCCCAAGGAGGGTACTGTGGTTGACCGCGGCGTGACCAACGTCCGCTACTGGGACTTCTTTTTGCAGGCGCACGCGTCGCTCCAGGGCACGGCGCGCTCGGCTCACTACACGGTTCTGGTGGATGAGATTTTCAGGGCCGACTATGGAAACAAGGCGGCCGACACGCTGGAGCAGCTGACGCATGACATGTGCTATCTCTTTGGGCGAGCCACCAAGGCTGTCAGTATCTGCCCGCCTGCGTACTATGCCGACTTGGTGTGCGACCGGGCGCGTATCCATCAGAAGGAGCTCTTTGACGCCCTCGATGAAAACGATAGCGTCAAGACCGATGACTTCGCAAGATGGGGTAACTCCGGGGCTGTTCATCCCAACCTTAGGAACTCCATGTACTATATCTAGGCTTGTCAATTGTGTGCTGGAATGGACTGGAGCATATAAGTGACGCGATGGAAGGCCAATCGTCTCTGGATATGGATCAAACCCAGCGTTTACTTTTTGGGTGCTTTTAGTTTCTACAGCGATTTGTCTGGACTGTTCTTTATTCTGTTTCTTGGTTCTCTTTTCTTTTTGTCTCTGTTTGTCTCTGTACTGCAAACGTGCACTCTGGATGATGAACGACACCATTTGACGATTGGATGAGAGATGGCAGACTGCAGATACTAACGTGCGCAATGGAAAACACGAACAACGAAGGGTTTTTGATTATGACAATAGCGAGATACAGAGACAGAAATAAAAAAAAAAAAATTAAAAAAATAAAAACCACAATGAAAGTATAATTGGAACACATTTGACTGTGATGAGTGTGACTGGTGTTGTGAATGGCGTTTTGACTTTCTTCTTTCTGAAAAATTGAGAACCGTAGATGTAAAAGTTGAGAACTGTAAATGTTTAGAACGCCCATGACTTCACGAGAGAGCGATGTCCGGGGCCCAAAAGTGTAAATGGATAAGTTGAGAACTGTAAATATCATATAACGTGATGTAATGTGATAATAAATTTATATGTCGTTGTATTGTTGTACACACTTTCGAGGATAGCATAGCCTGACAAGGTATCTCTGAGGTATACAAAAAAAAAAAAAAAAAAAAAAAAAACAAAAGGAAACCATGAACCCCCCAAAAGTTGTTCCAGCTGTTGTCTGTTGCAATGATGACAAGAATGATGACCTACCTACTACCTAAGATATCCATCCCCTCCTGTCCTATCCTAACCCGAGCCTAAACCCCTAAACGCCTTTCTAGATGTCTAAACCCCACCCAAAACTACTAGGCAACGGACCCGAGCCCCCCCCCCCCCCCCCCCCCCCCCCAAAAAAAAGAGGAGTATATATATAAACAAAACGTAAATCATCCAATATGGATGGAAAAAACCAAACCAAACCAAACAAACTAAAACAAAACCAAAACCAAAACACACATACAAACGAACAAAACTAAAGAAACAAAAACACCCAACTAGCCGCTCAAGACATTCATTCGTTAATTCATCAGTCACTCACTCACTCACTCAGCAGCAAAATACCGTTTTGTCCTGCTATTCGTTTGTTGCGCCTTGATTTCGGGCGGGACGATGGTGTGGTGTACGACGTGGGGGCGGTAGACTGCGTCTACTGGTGGCATCCTTTACGATTTTTTGATTGGACTGTTAGTATGTGTGTTGTGTGATGTTCTTGGTATACTTGGTTGAGGGACTGATGGATAGTGGGGAGAGAAGACCTGGGAGACGAAAGAGGAAGGGGTTCGAACACCTGGTAGAGCAATGGATAGATATATCGATGGTGGTGGGGGAAGGGAAGACAAGAGGAAGGAGCACAAGAATGAATGAATGAATGTGGTGACATGGAAAGTTAAAAGAAAAGGAAGGGGAAAGAGAAAAGAACGAGATAAAACGAGGTAACCGAAAGGATGAGGGGAAGTAAAGTGAAAAAAAAAAAAAAAAAAAAAAAGAAAAAAAAAAAAAAGAATCGAGAGAAGAAAGGGAAAAGAGAAAGTAAGAACTAACCAATCATCCAAACTCAGCGGAAAGTACTCATACAAAAGATCAGCCGCCTCAATCGGACTTCCCACATTTTCCTTCTGGTACTGATTCTGCCCCAGACTTCCACTTTCAAAGTGGCTATCACCCTTATTGTTGGAGGAGTGAGTAGTAAGTCCTCTCGATCCAGTGCCAAAACCCATCCCTTTCCCAGCTGTATTCCTCTTCATGCCACCAGGGACATTTATCTTGCCATATAACGGACTATCTCCCGCCCCCGCCCCTGCCCCCGTCGAGCCAGGAGTAGCAGTCCTATTCATAGGCGGACTCCTCTGCTCGTCTTCCGACAGGGACAAACTAATTGGCAGGGCACCTGCAGAGGAGGAGGCATTTCTGTGATGACTGGTTCTGTTTGGGGCAGCTAAGGGCGTGGGATTCCTTCGTGAGCCACTGTTGTGATTGTTGGCGACGTCCGAGGATAAGGATCCCCATGATGGTATTGGTGGTCGAGAAGAAGATCCCGGAGAGTTAGAGGACATGGCGAGTTTCTTGTTGGGGTGTTGTTGTTGATGGAGGTTGGGTGAGGTGCTGAAGGGTTGGGGGGTGGGCCCGCCGGTTGAGGATGACCAGTCTGATGGCTTTTTTTGGAGAGAGAGAGAGAGTAGTTATTAGCTTGTGATAGCAAGAATGGGGGGGTGAAGGAATACCAGAGGCCAGTGAAAACACACCTGATTTCCCAACGAATGATATCTCTGGAGCATCTCGGTCCTATCCATACCCTGCTGCTGCTGCTGCTGCGTCTGTTGTTTGTCATGGCTGCTGTTCCCACCAGCACCAGCACCAACACCACCAGACCCCTCCGTATTTGTCCGTTGCAACATGCCCTTCCGATCGCCCGTCAACGGCACATCCCTCCTACTGTCAAAATTCCTCGGACTCCTCCCCCTCACAATCACCGGGCCAGATTGGATCTCCGCCAACTTGATCAGCTTGTCCCCCGACTCAGCGGTCTTGGCCAACAAGTTGATTTGCACCACATAATGCTGCTGCAACCCCTTTCTCCGTCCATTATTCGCCGTGGCGTGCTTAAATTGCAACCGCTTCCACGACACGGGTATCGACACTCTGTTCCCGCTTTTATCGATTTCTTGTCCGGCGGATAAGTCGAGTAACTGCTTTGGTGGTGTGGTCGCTGTCCTTGACGATTCTTCTGGCTGCTGTCCCTGTTGTTGTCCCCCTCCCCCTGCAGCGGCAAAAGCGGGATTATTACTCTTCCACGGAATGCTGATAATCTCCGTCGGTTTCCCCTCGATACTCTCCATAGCCGTGATGGACGCCCACAGCTCTTTGATCCGCACCTGTCTCCCTACCCCGTTGCCACCACCCTGCTGCTCGTTGCCATCCAGCAAAAGCGAGCAATGCAACGCATGTCTAGGCAACGTAATCTGCCCTGTACATTGCCAGAGATTCCTCCGATAACACGTCAACTCCAACGGCCTCGCACCGGGGTGCTGTGCCTGTCCCTGTGCCTGTCCTAGTCCCTGTCCTTGATCACTAACGGGCGTGTTACTGGCAAACACATCCTCGGCAACAAAAAACATGCCGTATAGCTCAGCAGTCATGTTCAAGTCGGCGAACCGCCCCGTTTCAGAGTCGACCAGGGTCGCTTGCCCGGAGGGGATGGGCGGGCTGAAGCCGAGCAGCTTGTTGTCGAGCAGGTCGGAGGGCGAGTCGACTTCGTTGGTGGTTATTTTGAGGGCGGCTTCGGCTTCGGCGGCGACGGCGCCGACGATGGGACCCCCGCCGACGGATGGGAGGTTATATGGTGTGTGGCCATGGCCCTGGATGTGGATGTGGCTGTGCCCTTGCGAGTGCGCGGGGAGGGGTGGGAAGGATGTTGTCGTGGAGAAGGGGTCTTCGAAGGTGAAGTTGTCGAAGTCGTAGGCGGAGGGGGTGAAGGGGATTCCGGCGTGGAGGTCGGCGTTGACATCACTGTGGAGGTTGAAATTGGGAAGGTTAGTGGTTGCAATTTGCTGGTGGTGTTGAAAAATGGGGTGGTGATGACATACAGAAGCGCTTCTTCAAAGCCAAAGGGATCGCCCATGCCCATTCCCATTCCCATGCCCATAGGTTGACCGGCGGCGTTCAGCCCGAGGGCGTCGGCAGTATCGACTGGTGCGCCATTGGGGAGCTGTGGTATGGAATTGAAGCTGGCCATTGCATCGTCGGTGGTGTTAACAGATGAGTAGAGATTGGCCGGATTCAATATCGATGCTCGTGTGTGTCGATCGCGGTGACGACTAGCCGCGGCTAGTTTGGTTCGAATGGTGATCTGGCGGGATAGGTCCCGATAACGGTGTTGCTTATACCTTGCCGCCGCTTCTATAACACATGGTGTGGTGTGTCCCACGGCTGTCCGTTCAATCGGCTGAGGCTGAGGCTGAGGGAAGCGAGGCCTGGATTGGTTGGTCGACGATGGCGAGAGACGGGACTCTTGCTTTCATTGGGAGTATGGTCAGATATCTTCAAGGCTGGGTAGGTATCTTTAAGATGGCGCCGTGTGATCAATTGATGTGGAATGGGTTGCGACAGAGTGTGTGCTGGTAGGTGTTATCGTTGCCGGCTTGCGCCAACTGATCCAGTCCGATGTCACAGAAGAGGGCTGTGATCAGCAAACTGTATCTGCAGCGGGTATAGTGTTCAATCAGATGCCGTCAAGTTGCAAGGCCAGGGCATGGCAGCGTCATACAAGATACATATTGGCTGCCAAGACTCTGTCTGCTGTGCCTGGTGGGTGTGCCAAAAAGTCAGGCAGCTCAGGTTTCACCAACACTCGTCGACCACTCCTGAAGCGTTATCAGAATCAATTGCGCTTCATAGTACTCCATACCTTGCCGTCAGAAGCCATCACAGAGCTGACGAGCGTTCAATCGCATCTTGATTTAAAAAAAGAAGACGGGACGAACAAAGAAGCTCGAGTGGAGACGAGATGAACCCCAGACGGGATGGGCAAATGTGGAGAACTCGTCCCGTCAAGAGTGGACTGCCGAGTCTGGGGTTCAGCTCAGTTATGACGAGCACAGTGCCAAGTAGGTTGACTGAGCATAGTCCGTTTTTGACTTCACTTCTGGCGACGACATCCTCACCAGTGAGATAGTAAAACCATAACTGCCTGGTGTACAACTAAGAGAATGGCATCAACGAAAAATAAATATCCATAACCGCGTTAGCTTCGGGCGTGCGGCGGAGCGGAAGCGGAAACTTTTCCATCCGGGAAACACGGGTTTTCCTCCTGGATTTGACTGATGAAGGACCACATGCCCACAATAGGCAACTAGCTAGCTATTTAGGTATTCAGCGTGAATAAGATCATTATTATTATTATTGTTATCCATAATGCCACGCAAATCTTAGTACGCCATGGCCTTCTTCTCATTCAACCCCATCCTCTCCTCCTCCACAACACCCGCCAACGACACGGCCGCCCCAAGCAGTGAACTCTCCTTTGCCTCAACCAAGTCTATCCTCCGCTCCTTCAAGCTGTGCCCCGAAGACATCATCAGCTGGTCCAAATACCTTTGCAATGTCTCCTTGTAACCGGGAAAACATGTCAAAACCGATCCGGTATACCCTACCGTGGTCCGCTCCATCGTTAACTCAACTGCTGTCTCCTCGCTGAATGGTGACTCAGGCTCAAGTTCGTCCAGCAAGTTTTGTTCAGCCTCGTTCTTTAGTTCCCACAACGCAAACACCGAGGCGGCGACGATGGAAGCCGATCGCTGGGCGATATAACCCGCCAGTTGCTGCATGAACCGCATGTCCTCGGTGCTGGGATAACCGGCTGGTAGGTGGTAGAGCTGTGAAAAGACCGCGTCGGCTTTTCCTCTGCCATCTCGTCCACTGATATGTGTGTTAGCAAGCCAGTCGAGAGTAGAAAGACAAACAGAGAAGAGAGGGCAACTTACTTAATGATTAATGACATGGTCCCAGTATCCATAGAATACGCATCCAACAACAGTGGTGGAATTTTTCCTCCCAACAGACCCGTCGTCTTGATCGCCTCCAACAAGGCAATCCGGAACACCTCACCGAGGTAGTACCCACTGACTAGATGCTCAAGCGGCTGGAAGTCGGGCCTTTCGTGACCGGCTTTGAGTATTTTGTCCCATCGCGTCAGGGGCAAAATGTCACGGCCAAACATGCCCAACTCGGTGTTGACCATGACATGGCTCGCTTGCTCATACCAGCTGTCGGGTCGTTCCCCGAACTTGGATTTTCCAATCAGATTTACCGGGAGGTGGGCAGCAATGTTGACGCCAGTTCCAAGAATCAGTCCGAAGCGCGCCGATGGGCTAGAGTATGCCGACGAAAGCAAAGTGGCGTTGGAATCGTTGACTATCGAGACAACCTCGACGTTTACTCGGAGTTCTTGGAGGATCTTGTTACAGGTGGCACCCAAGTCCTGTCCCATCAGTCCGTCGCATGCAAGAAAACTCTTGCCCATGGGGCAGATGTTTCCTCCGTTGGGTGATGTTTGTCTGTCGTAGTGTTAGTTGGCTGATCTTGGGATGAAAGAATAGTGAAGTGATTAACATACTCTAGAGGGAAGCTCCAGGCCAATCCCATTGGCATTGGATCTCCCAAGTCATATTCCGCTTTCGAAATGTGCCCACCGTCAATTGCTTTCTTCAAGCTTGTCTCTATTTTCCGAGCCATCCATTTGAAGAAAAAGGCCCCCCGAAGCAGTCGGACGTTCCTGTCTATTTTGTAGCTGTCCATATGGACAATGTTGCTGTCGTCATCATCTGTGGTCTGTCTGCCCTTCAGGTCCACCACACCCACGCGAAGTGTCGAGCCACCAATGTCGACCGCCAGATACTGGCCACTTTCATGTCCGCCAGGCAGTTGGTGGTTGTAAGAGGGAAGCATACATGCTGGGTTGGTCTGTAAACCTTGATCGAATTGTGCCTTGAGCTTCTTGGAGAGTAACAAAAGAGGGTCGTTTGGGATTGGGCCGCTGTTTGTTATAAAGTGATTGCTGCCGATCGGTCCGAGAAGGAGCTTCTTGGCCTCTTTAAGAAACTCCTTCCTGGTCCTTCGAAATACTTTGATCTTTTTGAGTTTGTTGGGGTTGGACTTGGGGCTGATCCAAAGGGCAAGTAAAGCTTGCAAGAAGGATCTGCCTCGCGAGAGCGATTTGAGGGCGTTTATGATTAATAGCTTGAGGGATGCCATTGCGAAAACGAGTGACTGCTTCTGGCATTTGAGGTCGAGAGTAGACTAACGGAAGGAAGGCCTTTCTTAAGTCATTTAAAGACTCAAGGGAGGATGAGACAAATGCCGAGTGAATAGGATGCACCTGTTTTTCTGACAAAATGATGATGACTGCTGTCGAGAGCAGGAAAAATAATACACGTCGTCGATCTTGTCGCCCTCACCACTCTGGACAAGAGGCAGATGGCGAGCCCAAAGACTGACAAGCCGCTGGATACAGATGGCGGAAACAACACGATGATGATCTTGAGGCTCTGCTGAAACAGAATCTGTAGCTTGGTATGTTGGACGTAAAGTACGATGGTGTGGCGGTGAGAAGCAAAAGGTTGGCAACAAGAGGGAGGGAAGGAAGGAAAGGTGACGAGCTGATGAGGGGAGGCTAACAAAATGCTATGTTACAGCCGTCAAAGAGGGCAATGTTAGTTGCCCAGGGCCGCAAGAGGAAGGAATACCTCTTGTCCAGATGCTGTGCTGTGTTGTCAGAGAGCGATCTAGGCTCCTCACAATCAGAAACCTTGGTTGAGGCATGAATCCATTGCAATCAGTACAATATGTGAGAGAAAGTTAGCGATGTAGTGTGATCAGCTTCGACTACAAAGCTTGACCGCACAAGCTATCATACCAACGCGAAACATGAACACTGGAGGACAGACAATGAGGAAGTGTGGGGTGCAGGAGTGAAGATATTGCGAATAAAGAGCAGAGCCAATGACGTTCCAACTTGGCAGAAAGCAGCTGGGTGGATGTAACCAGCGGGTTACAACTTGGCAAGCAGCGCTTGATAGAATAGATGCCCAGGCGAAAGAAGGCCTGTGGAAGGCTCTCATTTCAGTGATGTCAACGAGTGTGTCTCAGGATTTCGCTGATGGTTGGTTGTTCAAGTGGAGGAACGAATGCACAAGGTGCGAAAGTAACGTTGCCTTTTTGTGTGTTGCTCGGTCTTATGGTCGCTGCAAGTTTGGTGGAGCGAGGGCGCTTGACATAAGCAATGCAATTGCATCAATAATCGGAACCAACCGAGGGGCAGAAAGTAGCAATCAGTCGACAAGAAAATGTGGTCGACAAGCCCGGTTCAAGCCGGCTTGGAGTCTATCCAGAATGCGATCATGACATGGAGCGGCTGGAATGTGGGATTGAAGGTTGAAAGATTGAAGAACAAAGTCATCCGAATTGACAATTAAGGCTTCCAGCCAGCCAGTCACGGTGCCAATGACTGAACGCCAAGTACAGTGCGCCGTTGAGCATGGCCCGTGCAGCAGGCCAGTTTCGGCGGAGCCTTGACTCACTAAAGTCCTAGGGCCACTGTGCACGAGCCATATCAAATCATCTCTGGAAGGAAGGAACTCGACGACGACAATGATTGTGCGTACCTTCCTCTACTAGTGTAGCTCGCAAAGAGTCTCCCAAACTGAGGCTTGCAATCAGATTTCATTTCTCACTTTTATAACAAACTGCTTTGCTTATCGGATGAAATCGCGACAAGTGTCTCCCAAGGTATCACCTGTGCCCAGATCAGCGCAGGACAACGGAAATAACCGTGTTGGGACGTCACCTCCACCAAGTCTCTCCCTCTTTGATTCTCACCAGCCGACTTTGTGGCAAGATAACAACCACAGTGTCGGTCGCCGCCAATCACAATGACACACAAACGACCAAACGCTGTGCTCCATTGATCCCCGGCGCGAAGCTGGCGACGTGACGGGATGACTCCCAAAGATGAACGTTCCATCTGTCCTCCATTATACACTACTTATCTTGTAGATCTGGAGGATTAAGGTACCTAGTCAGTCATCTGGAAGCTACCATGGATAGATCATTTTCTAATACCACCTATTGCGGGGTCGACACCCCAGTTCGTCGAGGTGCCCGTCATGACTGGACCCTGGAGTTGATGGATGGTCGCCCTTGCCAGTCTCGAGCATCGACGTTAGTGCACCTTGATGGCTGACGACGGGACGGGAGTCTCACAAAACTCCATGGTAGAGGTATTTCTTCCCTTTAGTCATTCTTTTCCCCATTCACCGAGACATTGTCTCTGCCCTTGACAGTATCACCTCTTATCCCTCACCCACTCGAGTACCCTGTCCCCGTTCTCTCCACCATCAAAGCATCACTCCACCAGCAATATGGGGCTCGTCATCCGCGACAACGCTGAATCCGCCAGCTCCTACGTGGCCGACTACATCGTCGACCGCATCAAGTCCTTCTCTCCTACCCGCACTCGCCCATTTGTCCTCGGTCTCCCGACCGGCTCCAGTCCCCTTGGCATCTACAAGTGTCTTGTAGAGAAGTACAAGGCCGGTTTGGTCTCCTTCGAAAATGTCATAACCTTCAATATGGTATGAACCACCAAAACTCGAATTTCCGTCTTCCCATATCTTGCTGACAGTGGTTGCAGGACGAATACGTCTCCCTTCCCCCGGCCCACCCTCAATCCTACGCCTCCTTCATGCACGATAACTTCTTCTCTCAAGTCAATATCCCCCCACAAAACACCAACCTTCTCAATGGCCTCGCTCCAGACCTCGCTGCCGAGTGCTCACGCTACGAAGCCAAGATTGCTGCTGCCGGCGGAATCGACCTGTTTCTTGCCGGCCTGGGAGAGGATGGACACCTAGCTTTCAACGAGCCTGGTTCCAGCTTGGCCTCACGGACGCGTGTCGTGGCTCTAGCGGAGGATACCATCCTTGCAAATAGTCGATTCTTCAATGATGATATGAACAAGGTGCCCCAGTTGGCGTTGACGGTGGGGGTAAAGACGGTCCTGGAGGCGAGGGAGGTGCTGATGATTGTTCTTGGTGCCAAAAAGGCGAGGGCGTTGAAAAAATGCGTGGAAGGGGGAGTGAGTAGTATGTGGACTGGCTCGGCATTGCAGATGCATGAGAGGGCTATCGTGGTTTGTGATGAGGAGGCAGCGGGGGAACTCAAGTGGAAGACGGTCAAGGTTTGTGTTTCTGTTTGTGGTCTGTTGATGAAGAACGGACAGTGCTAATGTGTGGCAGTACTTCAAATCGGTTGAACGCCGAGAATCCGGCCACAACCACGGTCTTGACCGGTCCCTGCCCATCAGGAAGGGCCTTGGTACCCCGCCGACCAAGCTCAAAACCGCCGCTGGACCACTTACACCAGAGTCGACACCAAAAGCAACTGCCACCCACTCCTCGTCTTCTCCCATTTCCCCGTTGGCACAAACGGTGCCAATACTTCTCACCACAAACGACGAGCCAGCCCAGTCCTCAGGCTACACGGCTTTGGAGCAAAAGATTCTAGCCCAACCCGTACCCAAAAGTCATGGCCTCCTAGGACTCCTCGGGACCTCATCATATGGCCATACATCGGATGGGGACTCTGAAGCTGAGTCGGAGTATGACCTGAAGCCAGACAGGATGGCATCCAGGCTAACTGATCCCGTTTTTGCTGCTGAAGCGTTAAGAAGATTGACGCCTAATCCCGAAAAGGGGAAAATGCTTGGGTAGTGAGGAGGACACCGGAGTCCGCGGATTGAAAATGGCAAAGATTGTTTTAATGACTGGACACACCACGGGTGAATTGACTGTATTTGCTAATCTTGAATACCCCTAATAATGGAAGCAAATAACCAAACAAGGCAATTTCTGATTGATATCCTAACTACAAACAACCCGAGACACGCGTAAAATCCTCGGGGTTAAGTGACTAAGAAAAGAAAAACAAGTCGTATATCACCATAAGTACATCCCTCAAACATGTCAAAGTAATCAGTCACAATTACGCTTACCGCGTATCCAAAGAAGAAAAGACCGTATCATCAATCGTAACATATCCAAACTGACGGAAATGCATTAAGCAAGCGAAGCAAACTGTAGTCAGGTCAGCAATCAACTACTCCTCAACATCTTCCCTCGTATCAGTCTCAAAGGGAAAAAAAGGTAAACTCACCTGCTCAACCCCATTAACCACCTCTTCCCAAACCTGCTGCACCTCAAATCCCATATCCAGCAACGTTTCCACACTATTGTTCTGCTGCTGTCCCCCATCCCCTGATCCACTGCCACCACCATTGCCATTGCCATTGCTCACCCAACTCAACAAGCAACTAGCCATCTTCTCCCTCTTATTCTGCCTCAACCCCAACATCACCAAGCCCTGCAACACCAACAAGTTTGCGTTTGTTTGTTGCTGTTTCTGCCCCGTCATGGACGACACAACAGGCGCAATGACTCCCCCGGTGCCACCGCTAGAAGATGCCGAAGCCGACGACAGAGAAGGGAGATGTAAATCCCTTCCTAACTCGCTGCTGATTATGATGGTGCCTATTACTTGCTCTGCTCCTCCTCCTCCTCCTCCTCCTCCTCCTCCTCCTTCTACTACTCCAGGGGCTGGAGGGGACTGGGACTGGATCTTGGCGCGGATGATCCACGTGTTGTTGTTGTTATGGTTGTTATGGTGGTTGTTATTGTACGTGGTAGGATCAGTAGGGGAAGCAGAAGAAGAATATGACGAAAAAGAATAAGGAGGAGATTGAAGAAGAGCAAGTCGGTAAAGAGCGAGGATCTCGGGTGTGGCGTGGGATGAGACGAAAGAGAGGACGGATTCTTGTTCGGCTGTGAGGGATGAATTTGGAGTTGAATTTGTGGTGCGCCCGCTGCCGCCGCCGCCGGGGATGAGGTCGAAGGAGATACCGGCCAACTGGAGGGTGGTGGGTAAGTCTGGGGGCGAGGACCAGGATTGGAGAGAGGGGAGGAGGAGGTTGTAGATTTTGCGTGTACGGACAACGCTCGAGGGGGAAGGGGATGAAGAAGGGGACAAATCCCACCCGCAGGTAGTAGAGAACCAGGATTTCAGACCAGAGGAAGCGGCGGTGGAAGATGTGGTAGATCCAGGGGTTATAGCTGACGACATGGACAGGGCGTCGGAATGCTCGAGTGGGATACCGGGGAAAATACCAGGGAGACAGCACCCCAGCTGGAATTGCTTGATGTCTGGGTGTTTCTGGAGGAGGTTCCTTACGGCCCGGCGGTGGAGGGAGTACCCTATTGACAGGTTACGTTTGGATGGGTCGACGAAGATGGCGCCTATGATTCCCGTGAAAGTGGAGGGGAGGTAGTAAGTGGAGCAAAACCCGTACAAAGCGCCGGTGGAGGAGTTGCGGACGACAAAGTGCTGCTGCTCTTCCATTTTCTTTTTATCTTCTTCTTCGTGCTGCTGATCCATAGTCATCATGTCGGATAACAGCGAAAAGGAGTGCGGGCCGAAGGCGTAGAAGTATTGATGGTTGGGCGCGCTGCCGCGGACCATGGTGAAGAGCAGATCTTGTAGGCCCTTGGTGTCTCGTTCGACGTCGTAGGGCTCGACGAGCCAGTGCTGCGTGCGGGTCTTGGATTTGCCGCCTGCGGAGCTTTGGACGGCCTTGCGGGGGGCTTTGCGGAGGGTACCGGGGAGGGTGCCGTGCGGGGTGAAAGCGCCGCATAGGGCGCGGACCAAGGCGGACATGGCGGTTTCGGTGAAGTCAAAGGTGCAGATGTAGGTCCCGATGGACTTGTCCATGGCGAAGTCGTAGGGAGAGGAGACGGCTATGACGATGAGGTTCTTTTTGTGGCCGGAGGCTTTGAGGAGGGAACACATCATGGCTACGTGTTTGGTGAAGCCGGCTTGGTAGAGGTTCCTGTTGGCGTCGGCGGTGAGGAGGATGATGGTTGAGGCGCGTTGGATGAGGGATTCGTGGACTGGGTGGTGTTAGTAAAGGCATGTTAATGGGGAAGGGGAAAGGAGGAAATCATACCTGGCCGCACACCGTTGGCGGTATAAGAGGTGTGAAGCAACTTGCCATGCCTAGCGCGGGCTAGAGATCTCCCAAGTTCCCTAAACACTCCCTCACCACTCATGATGGCACTGCGCTCCCTATGTATCCATTTGTCATGAATCGGATTCTCCGACCTTATCTTGGTCGAACCTTCAAGAATCGTCTTCGTCATGGCCGACGCCGGCAACGGCTTGACCAGCGGCGTCAAAAGCAGCAGTTCCTCCTCCTGATGCATGCTTTCATTGAGCGGCAACAACTTTTCGTTGTCCCTCATCACCGTAATCGAGTCATCGTACGCCTTCATGCTCAACGCCAGATGGCTCGGGTGAATCTGCTTCAGCAGCGAGATCCCCGGCGGATTCAGCGCCTTGGCCCAATCCGTACACCCCCTCTTCATCTTCAACACCCGTCTCAAGCTCGTATAAACCCTCTCCTTGGTCAACACCTCATTCTCTAACCCCAGCTTTAGTCCAGAAATCGCCTCCAGCTGGACATCATACGCCCTGCACAACAACACCAAATCACACCCGGCCTGCACAGCCATGATGGTTCCCGTGCGTACGCCCATCTCCGTACGAAGTGCTTCCATCTCCAAACACTCCGATATCGCAACCCCAGTGAACCCCAGCTCTTCCCGCAAAAGTTCATCAACCACTTGCTCGCTCAAACACGCATGCGCCACCTTCATGCTCGGATTCGTGATCCCACACCCGCCCACGAACATGGCGTCCAGTTTCCCCGTGGCAATCGCGTTTCGGAACGGCACCAGCGCCGACAAAGCCAGTTCTTCGAGCGTCTGCGTGATGATGGGTATATCCAAACTACTCCCCAGGAAATCCAGGTTTCCGTAGGAGGGAAAATGTTTCCCGCAGGTGGCGACGCCAGCGTCTTTGTACCCCTTCATGGCGGCAATCCCGTACTGGGAAACTTCTTGTGGGTCGTCAGAAGTGGCACGGACTCCTAAAGGCTGGTAGCGCGCGTTGGTGAGGACGTCCAAGACGGGGCCGAGGATGAGGTTGACGCCGCAGGCTGAGACTTCGGTGGCGGTTGCTTTGGCTAGTTGGTAGGAAAGATCCGGGGAGCCGGCTGCTGCTTGGCCCATGGAGGAGGGGAATTGGCAGATGTGTTCTTCGTCAAAGAGAGAGTTGACGCCGCCATTTTCTTGGTCGAGAGCGATGAGAAGGGGGTAGGGGTGGCCGGCGTTATGGGCGATGGTTTGGAGCTCTTGGACGAGCTTTGCTGTTTGGTGGGCGGCTGGTCATGGGGTGTTAGTATGGACTACTGAATTCTAGATTGGGGGCAGTACAAGGTGATGAGTACACTTGAGGTTCTTGGCTGTTAGGAGGATGGAGCCCAGGTGATGGTCGGTTATGAGCTCACGGATTTGGGGGGTCACTTCGGTACCGTCCCAGCCCATAATCAACATTTGGCCTATGGCCCTGAGAGGGAGGGGAGGTTGAGATTAGCTTGCTGCTTGGCATATTGTGATGAGGTTTAAACGACTATCCGGGACCCGGACCCGGACCCGGACCGGAAGAAGACCCGGAGAACGGGATACCGAGTCCGATCAACCATGTCTGAGATTGAGTGATGATGACGGAAGACGACCCGGGGGACCGGTAACCATACCACGTGTGAAGTGAGTCGTGAAGAGCCAGGATGAGATGATGTGTACGTACCAGTCCATATCCTGCCATAGTGGGTCTAGATCGGCATCCATGACGGCGATTGGAGGCTGAGGAGGCTGACCAAGGTTTGGGAGGGCTGAAGATGAGTACGTCAACCAAAAGCGCCCGCTGTTTCAATGTTCCAGTTCACCACTGGGATAATGTCATGTCACGTAACGGCGATGGCTATGTCAACATGATATGGGGTCTTGGTGTTTGCTGAAAGTGGTGGGGGGAGGTAGAGGGTGTGTGGTGTAACAATAGGTAGTGTAGGTGGTTGTCAATGGAGAACACGTTAACGCGGTTTGTTGGTGGTGGTGAGATCATTGTAGTGCTACAGTGGCCGCTGGAGAGTCATTGGTAGAAAAGAGATGAATGATTGGTTAGTCGGTGATCGTTCGATTGGGCGGCGCTTGGCTGGATTGGGTAGGCGTTGGATTTCCGTTGATCCTCCGCCATTTCTGACATGTGCTTTTCTTCCCGTGATCTTGGACAACGTCGCTTTTGGGCGTCGTAATTCTCACTTTTTGGCATCGACCAGCAACGTTACACTTGAGATGTCCATGATAAAGACTCGCAACGATCCCGATCAACACCCACTCACCTTGATATCAATTTCTGAGGTGTGATGGATCTGGCGGCCCGACTATCTGCCAATGCCGAGCAAACATCTTCCCTCGTTTGATGGTGATGGAGAGTGATGTTGATGCGACAGGAAATCCTTCTCCGACTGAGCTTCGTCCGGGGATCACAACCATCCTTGACGAATACCATTCGCGGCAGGCACCATGTGCGCCCTTGGTTGATGACAATCCACTAACTTTGCCACAAAAGGCAACACACCTTGCACACCTCGTCGTGGACAGTGGTGATGTCTCGTTACGCCGTAACACTCCTATCTTCATCCGACCCTGCGCCGTTATCTCATCGCTCCTTTGGTGAGGTTGTCCGGAAATGACGCGGTTGAAAATACCAACGCTATCGTCCGGTGTTTGTGTAGATCCCCCATCTCGTCTTAGCGTCCGATAACAAGTATCACCAACAGAAGGACAGAACGACCTATCAACTTGATGAACAAGCGTTCATATCACCAAGCCCCTCCCCGAGAACTTTGATCTCTTGAGTAAGCCTCCTGCCAAGAACTTGACATCGTTCATCCAGCTTCACACCGCCCTCACCATGCCAGCAGCTACATCCCCCTCCCCGCCTCTAACCAGGACCGGCACCGGCACCGGCATCACCAAACTGACCAACTGCCGTCTCATCATCGGCGACTCCCTCATCCCATCTGACCTCTTCATCGATTCCCTAACCGGCAAGATCCTCGAACCCTCCAACACCACCACCCTCCTCCCAGACATCACCCTCGATCTCCAAAACCGCATCGTGTCCCCCGGCCTCATCGACTGCCAACTCAACGGCGCCTTCGGCTTCAACTTTTCCACCCTCACCTCCTCCACCGAATACCTCAAAAACATCCACTCTCTCAACAAGAAACTCATCCGCACCGGCGTCACTTCCTATCTCCCCACCCTGACCTCACAAACACCAGAGCTGTACCACTCTGCCCTTCCACACCTCGGTCCTCTCCCCAGTATCTCCTCCAACCGCCACCACCGCAACCCCCAAAATGGGTCTGAATCCCTCGGCGCCCACGTCGAAGGCCCCTTCCTCTCTCCCCTCCAACACGGGATCCACGACCCTTCCGTCCTACGCGCCGCCCACTCTTTCCAAGATCTCGAACACGTCTACGGCTCTTCCAACCTTTCCTCCTCCTCCGGGTCCTCGGGAGGAGGAGCAAACATCAAACTCATCACCATCGCTCCCGAACGCGGGTCCATCGTGACCCTCATTCCCGAGCTCGTCGCCCGCGGAATCGTCGTCTCCATAGGGCACACCGAGACTTCCCTCCCTATAGCTTCCACGGCAGTCAAAGCGGGCGCAACGATGATCACCCACTTGTTCAACGCCATGAAACCTCTGCATCATCGCGAACCGGGGGTGTTTGGTCTTTTGGGTTTGGCTGCACCTGTACCAGGAGAAGAAGATAAGACTTGCAAAAGACCCTATTACGGCGTAATAGCGGACGGCATCCACTTGCACCCCTTGTCCGTCTGTTTGGCGTATAACTTGCACCCTAGGGGTTTCATTCTGGTTACGGACGCGATGCATCTGGCGGGCATGCCGGATGGGAAGTACGAGTGGGTTAATGGGGAGAAAACAGAGTGGATTGAGAAGAGGGGGAGTAAGCTTTGTATTGCTGAGCCACCGTCGTCGTCGTCGTCATTGCCGCCGTCACCACCGTCGTCACCACCACAATCGCTATTGGCGGGAAAACAGAATGGCCACCACGTCAATGGCCATGTCAATGGCGGCCCGGGAAGAACTCATGATCGGGAGGTAACGACTCAAAATGGCAATGGGGTAGAAAAGAAAAAGCAATGTGGAGGAGGAGGGGGAATAGCAGGTAGCTCAGCCACCCTCCTAGAATGCGTGAACAATGTCTTGCAATGGACAGGGATGTCGGTGTCCAAGGCTTTGGCGAGTGTGACTAGCACGCCGGCCGAGATGCTGGGATTGAAGGGCATCAAGGGGAGTTTGGCGCCGGGGGCGGATGCGGATTTGGTGGTTTTTGAGGAGGTGGAGGTTGAGGTTGAGGATCTGCTGGATGGAAGCAGGAAGATAAGCAGAAAGCAGTTGGTTGTTGATGAGGTTTGGAAGTTTGGGGAAAGAGTCTTTGTTAGGGATCGGACTGCTTTGGTGAGTTCCAAATCATAATGGGGAGGGAGTTGGGGCTTGATAGATGTTGAATGATTTCTTGGTAATGCAGCTTTGTTTCCTTGCAAGGTAGGGGGAGAAAGTATAATGCTGAATGTCTGTTGGCTTGCCATTTGGCTATAGCACGATGAATGGCAATGATGGTTCCCGTCCACGAAGGCATGACTTGAAAAGAAAACACCACTCGCCCTCCAATTATAACTGGCCATACAGAACTCGAAAAGATATAACTCATTCCCCTCCCATGTGTCGCTAAACTTGGTAAAACAACTCAGGATAATGCTGCGAAGTGTTTCGCTTTCCATGCTCGATCTAGTCCTCCGTACCATTACTATCGTCCCTCGCTGTCGCTAAAGATGTTTCCTAGCCAGGCAGATAGCTATCCAGTAAGCAAGTAGCAACTCAATTCGTATCCATGTCGTATTATCATCACTTCATCCCCGCCATGCTATCCACGTCCACCCAACCTACGACCACTTGGGCTCGTCACTCTCCACCTTAGGGGTCGAGACAGCATTCCGGTCAGCAAACGGATCGTTCTCGTCCTCATCCACCTCACTATCCTCGTCATCAGACGGTTCCACCCTTCTTGTAGGCGGCTTCAACATTGAGGGTTTCGAAGCCGCAGACGGTCGGGGAGGTGGCGCAGGACGAGGAGGCATTGGTGGTGGGCTCGCAGGGGTGTTGGTGATGCTGAGCCCAGCCATGCCCGCAACGGGGGCGCGGGGACTGCCGGGTACGCTCCCGCCGGATTCTTTGGCTTTGGCAGCTTTTTCAGTTGCCACTGGAAGTTGTTAGCAGGCGAGACGAGACAGGGAAAATGCGAGGGGAACATACTCCGATAAAGATGTGCTTGCTCAGCGAGATCATCATCCGAGTCGCTGTCCGCGTCAATAGAGCGGTCCAGCTGCTCAAAAGTCATGAGCGCTTGGACGAGTTCATCGTTGGCATGTAGAAGGCCTCCTAGCCATTGTTCGGATTCGACGTGTTGAATCTGCGTCTGTTAGCAGTCCGTTCGGGTCTAGTCAAGAGACAATGTCACGTACATATCTCAAGATGTTCCTTCTAAGCATTTTGCACTTTTCGAAACGCTCCACTGCAGTCGAGTTCTCCGAAATACGCTCCTTCTCTCGATTGATGGATTGCAAAGTGTTCATCAGGTTCGTCGAGGCAATGGACGCCTCGGCGATAGTCCTGGTCATCTGATCCTTTTCGGCTTCGAGGTTGAACGGCCTATGCTTCTTGGATTTGCTGCTGCTCTTCTTTGACTTGTCCTTGCCGGATCGACTGAACGAGTGACCATGGCCGCTAGAACTGGATACCGTCGGCCTATGCGATGACGAGGAAGCTGGCTGTGCGGTTGATGAGTGGGCCTGGGCAGTTGAGGTGCTTGCTGATGGCTGGCGTTCTTCCTCCTCGTCTTCGCCAAAAGGGTTCTCGGTCTCCTTAAGTACCTTGGACTTTTCTTGGGTGACGACTTGCTTGCGACGGGGAAGTTCCTGGAGTGGTGTGAGCGTGGCAGGCACACGGCAAGTGTAGAGTGAAAGGGGCTTACCCTGTAGAGGTTCGCGACGCGCTCCATGCCGGGAGTGCTCTTGTAGGCAGTCCAGCTGCGAAACAATTCGGAGCACTTCTTCTTCACCAGGGGGTCCGACAGCTCGGCGGTACCACAGAAGCGCAAGCGCTCAAGGAGGGGTTCATCCGCAAAGGAGCGCTGGAAGCGGGCACCCGCATTCTGAATCAGAGCATCGAGAATGGTCAGGGCTCGGAGCTGGCGGTGCAGGTTTCCATATTTGAGTTTCTTGCGAATGGCACGGGCAGCCTCGGTTGGACCCGAAGCCTGGAGGTTGATGGCTTCGATAAGCTCGGGGATGCCGCTGAGATCGTCTTCGGCGAATGTCTCACTCGTCAATCGTTCGATGTCGACAGTGACAGCCGTGTACGGTTTCTGTTCTGGGCTGTTAGCGAATGGACGGGACGCAGCTATTGGGGGCACCTTTGGTCCTTTACCGAGGAAGAGAACATTGTGTCGTGGAGTAGCGTTGAGCTGATGACTGTGGTAGCTTCTTCGTGGAAAATAGGTAGCAGAGAATAAAGCTCGGGGATAGAAGTCGAGAAAGCTGCGCAGTGGTGGTGGATGGTATGGTTGAAGAGCGGGAGCCAAGTCAAACAGTCGCGTTGCCTTTGGGTTTGTTCAGTTATCGTCAGATGGCCGCAGTCGCAGTCGCAGTCGCAGTAGGTCGCTAACAATGGCCTGACCAGGAAAAGTACCTCTACCTAGTACGACTTATTGATAGAAGCTCTGGAAGCTCTTCGTTGTCGTTAAGAAGAAGCGCAATCTGTCGAGGCAAGCGCGTCAAGGTAAACGGCAGCAGCAGTCGTGCCTGCTCCAGCGGTGATGTGATGCTGTGATGCTCTGACTGAAGCTTTGACGAGGGGCGGCTGATGGCGCAGAGCGAACAATGGCGGGGTATCGATAAGGTTAAAATTCGTGTGACGCCGTGAAACCGGATTCCGTCGCGCCCAATGTTTCTTTCGGCAACCCGTCAAACAAATGATCAGATTCACCGCATCGTCACCAACAGAACGTTGCCAGGTCTTTCGTGAGCAACCTCAATGCGCCTTCAGTAAAGGAGCGAAAAAGAGGGAGCCATGCTGCTTCCTTGACAATGCCCCGGTCGCCGGTCCTTGGCGTTTAGCTTTCAGGCCACAAGCTCCCTACAAATCTCGGCTCCGGTGCCGAATGGTGGGGCTTCGGTTCGCTATGATGCGGGGCCTGATTACTTGGCACCGTCACCCTCCCTGCCTCCCGCCTGCCTCCCTCCCGTCCGGCTGCCCGCCCGCCAGCTGCCCTCAAGGGCCCGCTGAAGACGTCCAGAATAGGAAAGTACGACTTATACATCCATCATCAGCAGGCGGGCATCAACCCCTCGACGACTCGCACTTGCCAACTCTCAAGAACAGTGAGAAAATTTCAAACATTTCCACTTCATTTCACTTGTCCAGTCTTCGCAACTGAAGTCCTCTTCGACTCTCGTCCGGCCTCTCCTACCATCATGTCCTTTTCAGTCCAGTCGTGTCAACACCAGAGGCAGTTTCCGGTTCCCACCACCCGGTCCCAATTTCCAAAGGTGAATCGTATCCCAATGGCTTCGACCTCGACAGTACCGTGACGCGCCTATACTTCCATCAGTATCATTAGTCTCGATTTTTTGTACCCAATCGGACATTGTCCCTCCAAGATCACAGTCACAGACACAGATGACTTGAGTGTGGTCCTGAATATGATGGACCCTTCCAGTGCGGCAACTGCCGATGCTCCGTAAGCCCGTTCTCCCGCTTCATGTCGCATTGAAATGCTAATTTGTATTCTCTATAGTCATGATGTGCCCTCTTTTTCAACTACCACAACCCTTCCGGCCAATGATGCCGCACCGGTCAACAACGGCGTGAACGGGCCTGGAGCACTTCCAACGGAGCTTGACCATCCGGCTACTTCATCTTCCCTGAAACGCCGAAACACTGATGGGGACTGCCCAAAGGGCAAGAGAAGGGGATATGTATTCCCATCTTTCGAAACCTTCTCAAAATATCATGGTTACGATTACGACGACAATGTCCCAGTTGGATATTCATCATGGGAAGAAGGCGATACCCAAGAGCATATGCTTGTGGACACGATGACCTCCGACCAGGATGGCTACTATTCGCCCCCATACTCCAGATCCGAGCTATTAGAGCTGTGTGCCAACAACCCACGGGCTGGCAGAGAAGACTGTGAAGAAACGGATGCTTCCTTTTTCAGCAGAGCCATGATCTTTGACTCGCTCACAGGTGGCGATCCGACAGCCTACGCAGGCGAACAGGACATCTTCACATACCACAGTGTTCCTACGTGTGATGCCCTCCTGGCTAGAGAGTATGAGGTTCCGTCCGGTGACAGCAATGTAGCGACTGCTGACGAGTACTCGGTCGCATCGTCAGAGGAAGAAGCTATGGCGAAGCTGTTGGATTCCTTGGCGGACCCATTCGCACAGATTCCGCCATCCAGTGTCATCAGAGCTGTGGAGGGGAACTCTACGCCTGAAATATTTGACCCAAGTCTACGGAGATCAACGCCACGTAGCAGTGCAAACAGCTGTTCAGTTCCCGTCGGAAACGATCAAAATGCCGACACGGAAAACTTGCTTGATGAGGACATTGACTGGGATGAGGTTTTCCAACATCTGCCTGCTGCTCCCAAGGAGGATAATACGTCTCAATTTGTGAAGCTTCCCAATGAGGTCAACCAGCCGCTGGAGAATGCGATCGAATGGATGCAGTCCCGCTCAATCAGCCCACCCAAATACCAGCCATTTGCCAGGCCACCTTTCCGCAGCCCATTGCGTAACAAGTCCCCCGTAGAGGGTTTATTAAATACGACCGTCCTGAGAACATGCTTCCGTCTGGATTCAGTATTCAAGGAAGTAACTCAATGCTTCCGAGAAGACCAAGAAGTGACCTTTGAGCTTTTCGCCAGGGTTTCCTATTCCTCGAGAGAGAAGGGTTCGCGGGTTCAACACTTCCAGCTCATTGATCTCTTCGAGGAACAGCCTCCACATCTATCGGGTGTTCTGACTAGGTGGAAGAACGACAGTCTAGTGGAAAAGGAGGCCTCCAGGTTCCTCGACGTACCAAACAACAAGATGTGTCGTTGCATGTGTCGACCAAGAAAGGCCAAAAAGCCCGAGATCGGTTGGGACCTCGAAGTGTTGCGTATCAGGGTCACTGATTGGCACGAGATCGAGAGTGTCCGGAGCGTTGTCTGTTACCAGTGATCATAAGTCAGACTTAGACCTGTTTGTCATTGTAATGAGCAAGGGCCATGGAAACGTGTCACAGAGTCGGTCCTCATGGACAAAAGACGCTCGTTGATTATCTAGCGTGGAGGGATCATAGCTGCTTGATATTTCTTTGTCATAAAGGAATCAGAATGGGTGTCTTGGTTGCAATTTACAGGATTGGGGTCTCTGATATCCGGTGTCTTCTCTTTCTTTCGTCTCAATTATGCTCATCATCTCAAAGTGTCGGGGGGAAGCCCAAAATTTCAGACCATACTGCTTCCCACTAGTCATATCATCTGTTCTATTCTCTCGAGGGGAATGCCGCCAATGTGGACCTCCAGTACCTTCAGATACTGCAAACGCCATTCCCAATCTAACTCTGGACTGCTTGCCTCTGTGGTACTCTGGTAGTACTTCCTGTCTATAAAGTAAGCTCCTCCCCTCGATAAATCTTACCTCTACACGAAGCTTTCCCCAACTTCTTGCTCCGCATCCTACTCAGGCTCACTTCCCTCCCAGGAATTTTACCATTGCTCTTATTCTGCCCGTGTACATACTACTAGGCTTCACTACCCTCAATACGCCCTTCCCAGCTGTTTGGACGTCAGTTCTACGGCAGGGCAGATGGGTACGCTTCGCAAAGCTAACTTACGACCGACCATTCAGTACTAGATTGCCAAATTTACCTCGGCCTCGATAGCACCACTCTGATCCCAGCTCACATCTTATATTCTTTCAACCGCGGCATATCCCCTAATGCTTATCTCCGGGTAGCCTTTGCGACCGCTTCAATTTTTTGTCCTTGACCTCAACAATCACGCAATTCGCGCCGACCCTGACTCGAAACTCTCCATATGGCTGACATGGTAAAGCCGGAGCCCGATGACCGGACCGCTGCTTCCCCCTCAGTCAAATTGGAGGGCGATCCGGGCCCTGCAGGACCTTTCCTGAGCAATCTGGCCATCCATTTCCCCGACATTGAGCACACTTCGTCTTTCGCTTGGGAGAGGGAAAGTGAAATGAAGATATCGGAACGCGTTGCCACCAAGCAGAAAGCGCTTGATGATGCTTTCCATTGTGCAGAAGGAATTGTTAACCTGATCACCACTACCTGCGACGGAGAAGGCCCGGATGTCGGTCATGTTCAGAAGGATTCGGAGATCCAAGCATGGAAGGAAGAAATATGTCAGTGGTTTCGTCAGATGCTCGTTGATCATTAGCTAACCATGTCTACCCCAGATCGACTCAAAGAGCAGCACATGTCGTTGGAAATACTGGTTGGTGTAGCCGGTGCCACGGGTGCCGGGAAAAGCACCATTCTCAACATGCTGCTTGGAAGGCCCCATCTTTTACCATCGAGCAACTCGGAGGCATCGACTGCATCGGCATGCCAGGTTAAATATAACCATGACGACAGTCCCAACCACCTGTTCAGGGCCGAGATTGACTGCCATACATACCAGGAGGTGTTGTGTGAGCTCAAAAAGCTCTATGAAGCCTTCGGGCAGACTTTTGATGAGGAAACCCTTTCAAGTCAGATGGAAAGAATGGAACAGCAGGTCAACAACGAGGTCTTTATCCGCGAGGAAATGAAAAAGATAAAGGCCGTGTGGCACCTAGAACGCGAACAAGTTGAGAATATGACACCAGAGACGTTACTCGACTCCAATGCACATATCCGAGAACTTCTCGGTAGTACGCAGTCTATCAGCTCTGCTGATATTAAGGAATTTGCCGAACTTGTCAAGCCATACGTGGATTCCTCGCCCACTCCACAAGGGTTCGAGGTGTGGCCGTTGGTTAAGCAAGCCAAGCTTTATGTCAAATCACCCGTACTCAAAGAAGGGATAACACTGGTTGATCTCCCCGGACTTTCGGACGCAGTGGAAACTCGTGCCAGGGTGGCTCAGCGGTTTTTCGATCGACTGGATACAACTATCATTGTGACTCGTTCTAGTCGAGCAATCGATGAGAAGACAGGAGTTGACCTGATGAATGAGTATCAGGCTCTCCAGATGCAAGCGAACGGTACCTTTCGGAAGAAACAATTCTGTGTAGTTGCTTCACAAATGGACGATATTGACGTGGAGGGTTTCAGGCTTGGGTCTCAGGTGGCAAAGGCCAACGTCAACTTACAAAGCGATATTGAGGAGATTGACCGTATAACGTTGGAGAAAGGGGATACAGAGAAACAACTTAGGACCCAGAAAAAGAACGCCGAAGTATGCCAAACAAGGTTGGAGAAAGCCACTCGTCTGCTTAGAACATTGGAGGCCAAGAAGAACATCGGTAAAACCCCCAAAGCAGGTGAGTGCCCCCTAGTTATCTGTCCCTTGGAAATCCCCATTTAACGATATGGCAGAAAAGTTACACCTTGAAAAGCTGGAGAAGGCACGAAAAAAGGTGTCATCACTCCAAGCACAGCTGGCCAACCATCAAACAATCGTCGATCAACATCACAGGAAGTTACATCAGCTGGATGAGTCTTTAGAAGCCTGTGAAGGTCGTGCAAAGTGGACATGCATTCGCATGCGCCATGAATACATCGCCGAGAAGATCAAGAAGAACATGAAGAGCAAACTTTATTCCTCCCAGGATCAAGGTCAAGATACCAATGCCGAGAACGATGGAATTGTCGAGGTCTTTTCGGTGTCGGCCAAAGCATATCGCAGCCATCTTGGAGGCCGGCCTCCAGAGAACTTCCCAGGAACATCGTACACTGGTATCCCACAGCTTTTGGCATGGCTCAGAGTGTCAGCTCTGGAGAAGCGGGAGGCTCATCTCGATGTGCTCCTGAAGGCCCTGCAGAGGCTCTTGAATGGCATACAACAATGGTCGAACGTCATATCTTGGAGCCAGACAGTCTCGTTCTCGAGACGGACCGTTGAAGGGATTCTTTCCAATGTACATGAGAATCACAAAAAGGTAAAGCTTACTTTTCTTGGTGATGAAACCTTATACTGACGTCAGGCTCCCCTATAGAACCTCGACACCGAGCTTCGTCGTTGGGCCGACATTATTGTTGCAATTGACCCGTTTGAAAGCATCAAGCAGGAGCTTATGGTGTCGAATGAAGCTGTCGGTACGGTCGTGCTCAAGTGGGCGTTCAAGTATCCAGAAGATGCCAGAAAATTGGAGTACATGGCACATAGCACGTACAACGCTATTCTTCGTCGAAACGGTGGGCCGTTCCTGAGCCGTGGTGGTGAGCGTCGGTCGTATAATTTTCCTGAATCATTGTAGGTTTCTTAAGCCCCTTTCTTCCTCTCTGGGATGCTTGGCCACGCAACATTTTATATTGACAACTTCCAGGGCCGTTCCATTTCTAAGAGTCATGTCGGGCAACTGGCAGACCGTACTGCACAAGTATATTCCCTCGCATGAACCTCTAATCATGAAGCCTATTACGGAAATGTGGCACCGATACGTCAACGAACTGGTTAATCAAATTAGAACGGCGGCGCCAGCGATCTTGCCTCAGCTGCAAGAATGCCTCCCAGTGTTGAGACGCATCCTTGATGAGATACAGCTCAGGGTGCGAGAGATTTTGAATGGACTCTCCAGGAGTTCATCTGACATTCAGCCCGAGTTCCGGGACGCATTACAGACGCGTCTCGTGCCCCTTTTTGCGCAAGCACTTGAGATCACAGGTGTGTGATACTTTGTTTTGAGCCCCGGCTTCTTATTCTGCCAGAAGCTAAGCTAAAAACCCCTCCTCACAGGCACCGGAAGCTACAAAAAGCGTCGCGAATACCTCCAACAGCATGTAGTCGAACGGGTTCAGCCAATGTTTGACTACGCCTACAAGAGAATGGAAGAGGCATATGGCATCTACCGGAAAAACGTACTGTACGATTTCGTGTACGTTTCAACGTTCGCCTTTGACAAAGCCAAACAGCACTTTGATCTTTTGTTGGCGAACTTGAAGAAGACAAAGAAGAGCAACACGAGGAATGATTCCCCTCGCCATAAGGAGGAAGTGGACGATTCTATTGCCTTGAAGCATAATGTGGCTCGCTTGGCCCAGGAGTGGGAGAATATGTGGCGGTTTCCAGGACAAGTCGAGCATATCTCTGACTCTCTCGAGTTACCACTGAGGTTTGTGAAGCGCTCCCATGACCTCGAAGATATGGAGGAAGATAGTGATGAGGAAGATGAGGATGAAGATTCTGATGACGGGGATATTGATATGGATGAGGATGAGGAGGAAGATGAAGAGTGATATGGGACGTACTTGAGATTCTGGCTGAACAGGATGGAGGTAGAGGCTGTTCTTGGTGGATGATGAAAGTTATTCCTGTGGTAACTTTTCTGGTACCTCTAGGCTCAAATTTCGATGTACTATTCCAGCGGATCGATAGGTTACACTTTCATGGTTTGAATGCACATCGAGCCCAATGTCAGGGTGAAGGTTGTTACGAGTGGTCGTTGATTGACGACTTGATCGGAGAACTAGATCAGCTTATCTTTTCCTATCTTTTCGATTTTCTGATGGACGATACTTTATCGACCTGCCCCGAGCAACTGGAACTCCCGGTAGATGGATTTCAGAGATGGAAGCATGTGGATGGTTAGAAGAACAAAGTTTTCTGCGTTATCTTTCTCTCGAGTTCTTGACAACGCCGCTTCTTCGTCGTTTCTAATGTAGAGCAAGTAGCGCATCTTCTACTAACAAATCAGGTTGACGAAGCTGAAGAACTCTTGCCAGGTGATGTTCAGGGGAAAGCGAATGCGAGTGTAGATCTATACCCTCTTGACCAAGTTCACTGGAGCTTGGAATTAACAACACGAGGGATATTCTCCGTTCCTTCGACCATCCCGAGGTTGTTTTAATTTGTGTTGCACACAAGATCCAGATAAGGTTGACCGCGGCGTTGAGGTGCAGCACATGGACGGCAGTTGAAGTTTAGGTGGTGATCCACTAACAGCGCGCCAATAGCACGAGGTAAGTGCCCCTGTTCCACTACTGTATGTAGAGTACGTCATACGGGGCATCCCTACACGCTAAACTGGACCGGGACTGGGTCCGCTATCAGCTTCCATTCGTTCGTTTGTGCCTGGGCCGTGATGTTTTTTTTCTGGTTCTCTGTAACCTTCCTCTTTCAATCACACGGAGGTTGGACCAACGTCCCCCTCTTTTGCGGTAGTGATGATACCCCTCATCTGAAGTCTCGATTGGCCAAATCATTATTGCTTTTACCTCGGCTCCTCGTCCTCCTCCTCGCCCTCTCCTCTCGTGCCTTATCGCAACCGAAGCTGCGGACGGAATATCTCAGCGGCCAGACGCAGTGCCACCCACCCCTCTTCCTCGATCCAGATCGTGATCCGAAATATACAACCTACGAATGTTGTACTCGATATGCTCCGAACAGCCCTCGTGATGCCCGAGTTGCATTCGACGTGACAGCACAGAATCTAATCTCGTCAAATCTCCCGCCAGAAGGAGAGGTTCTACCAACCATGTTTGTGGGTTAGGACACACGGTGATGATTGGCTTCTGATCATGAACCACATATCGAAATTGTATCTGCCTCGGAACATTGATGGCGTCCTACCACTTCGGATGTTGAATCAAACGGCATCGCGTTGCAGCTCGCCAGAAGCCCTGTGCGTTACGGTGGACGAAGGAAAACTTGGCAGAATGCCTGATCAAGATCGAGGATGATACCCCATTGGAGTCTTTCCCATGTTCGACAAGGACCGCAAGGACCCTCAGATGGACACGACGATACAGAAAAAGCATGGCCGGAGCTACAGATCGCTTAGTCGCAAATGGAAATGGAAAACACCCGACCCACCATCATGAACAACAAGCGTGGGAGATCCTCCGATTGGGTTGGGTTACCGCCTTGCCCTTGATCTTGGCAGTATCGTTGCTGTGAAATCAAGTGGGACTCCAACCCACGCTTCGATCTTCCACCGTACAGATCCGTGCGGGGAGCGTAGATGGTCGTGTGTCTGTCCAGGGAGGATGAGATGGGTATAGATACGAAGCCTTTCCCTAGCAAAGGGGATGTTTGGTTCTCTTGAGCGACGTTGTCCCAAGTCCTCTTCTTCTTCAAGGGTATGTAGGAACAGGCTCTTTTGAGACATCCTTCTCAGATCCAGACCTCCACTAACATATCCCAGGCACAGGTAGCCAGCATCGCAAGATGCCGTACTATCAACAAGACCGCCGCGGTGGCATGGCACCTCCCAGACGTCTCATAACCATTGCCGTCTCCATCGTTTCCTTCTTCATCCTGACTGCTCTCGCTATCGCCCAGTTCGGCCCCTCCTCCGAGTTGCACGCTCGGAAGCTTGCCCAGCGCATCGAACATGCCCAGCGCGCCAACCTCCAATCCGAACCGCGGGACACTTCTCTCGGTGACAAGTATTTGATCGGTGTCGGGAAGGCCGACGTCACCGGCCCGGTTGTCGAGGTCGGCTTGGGCGGGTATGCGGACACCAGCCAGGTCGGAAGCGGTTTGCGCCAGCGGTTGTACTCGCGCACCTTCATCATCGGCGAGACCAAGAACCCCAAGAATCGCGTGGTGTATATTGTGCTTGACACGCAGAGTGGAGACACGGCTGTCCGCAATGGTGTTCTGGATGCGCTGAAGGGGATGGGAGACGAGTACTCAGTTTATGGCCAGTCCAACATTGCGCTTACGGGAACGCACTCGCATTCCGGACCGGGTGCGTGGTTCAACTACTTGTTGCCTCAGATCACGTCGCTGGGGTTCAGCAAGCAGAGTTATCAGGCGATTGTGGATGGTGCTGTGCTGTCGATCAAAAGGGCGCATGAGTCCCTTCAGGAGGTATGAACGAACAGACTATACCTGCTGGAACAGGACTAACCGGAATAGGGTTACCTCGACATCAGCACAACCGACATCAACGACGGAAACAATAACCGCAGTCCCTCCGCATACCTCGCCAACCCCGAGTCCGAGCGAGCCAAGTACCCCTTCAACACCGACAAGACCTTGACCCTCCTCCGGTTCCGGAGAGCTTCCGATTTGAAGAGCGTCGGTGTCCTCACTTGGTACCCCGTTCACGGCACGTCCGTCTTTCAGAACAACACGCTCGTGAACGCCGACAACAAGGGCGTTGCCGCATACCTATTTGAGCAATCCGTCAAGGGCGACAGTCGTGCTGCTGATGGTTTCGTTGCCGGCTTTTCCAACGCGAATGTGGGTGATACGACGCCGAATACGCTGGGTGCCTATTGTGATGATGGTACCGGTGCCGCATGCGACTTCGAAAGCAGCACTTGTGCCGATGGCAAGGTGCAGGCTTGTCATGGAAGGGGGCCGCTTTTCCAGAAGCTGGATAAGGGCGTAAGCAGCTGCTACGAGATTGGGAGGAAGCAGTATGCTGGAGCCAAGAATGTTTGGGTAAGTAGTCTTTTGCGTTGGTGTGAAGAGCAGTTGCTTACAGATGTTAGACTTCTCTTGATTCAAGCTCGACGCCGGTTGTTGGCTCTACCGTGAGGTCATTCCACTACTTCCACGACATGCGGTACTACAAGTTCAACCTCGACAATGGCACCGAGGTCCAGACCTGCCCTGCTGCTCTTGGTCACTCCTTCGCTGCTGGCACCTCGGATGGCCCTGGCGCTTTTGACTTCACCCAGGGCGACTCTGGTGCTCCTAACAATCCGTTCTGGTCCGTCGTGGGCGGTCTTTTACGAGTTCCGTCCGCTGAGCAGACAGCCTGCCAAAAGCCCAAGCCCATTCTCCTCGACGTCGGCGAGATGGACAACCCTTATGTCTGGACCCCCAACATTGTCGACATCCAATCCTTCCGTGTCGGCCAATTCTTCATGATCATCTCCCCTTCCGAAGCCACCACCATGTCCGGCCGTCGCTGGCGCGACGCCGTCAAAGCCGCCGCCAAGCAACAAAAGCTCACCGGTAGCACCGAGCCCGTTGTTGTCCTCGGTGGTCCCGCCAACACCTACGCCCACTACGTCGCCACCCCCGAGGAGTATGCTGTCCAGCGCTATGAAGGCGCTAGCACGCTCTTTGGGCAATACGAACTGCCGGCGTACATCAACCTCACACTTTCTGCTCTCCCTTACCTCTCCCCCAGCTCTACCAGCTCGCCACCCCCAGGCCCTAGCCCGCCTGACAACAGAGATGGCTCTCTATCGTTCATCACAGGAGTTGTTTACGACGGCGCTCCCTCCTCCAAACCATTCGGGACGTGCATCACGCAGCCATCTTCTTCTTATACCCGCGGCAGCGTCATCACTGCCGTCTTCCAAGGCGCCAACCCCCGCAACAACCTGCGACTGGAAGGCACCTACGCCGCGGTCGAGAAACTGGGAGCAGATGGAAAGACGTGGACGCAGGTGCGGAGTGATGAGGATTGGAACTTGACGTACGAATGGAAGAGGACGAATGGGTTGTTGGGGTATAGTGAAGTGACGATTAGGTGGGAGACGAGAACGGAAAGTAACGGCGAGGGAGATGATCCGACAGGGACGTATAGGATTAGGTATTACGGGGATACGAAGGCTGCTGTTACTGGTAAGGTTACGGAGTTTCAAGGGGTTAGTAGGGAGTTTAAGTTGACTTAGGACAAGCCGATTGAGGCGGTGGCTTTTGGGGTAAGATGGGTGGTAATGAATGGCATGATAATGAGAAATGATGATGATGGGATGAACGCATGGTTTTGGTATAGAAACCAGGTACGATACGACCGAGCCATGGAAAACATTCGGAAAGTCCAGACCAACCCAGTACTGGAAAAAAAGAAACCGAGATCCCGACAACGTGCTACCTACATCATTCATTTCCCGGAGAAAGATGAACAGACTTTTGCAAAAAAGTAACACTTCCGCGGTCCGTAGGTCTTACTTTAACAATCACCCCACGTTTCTTTCCCCTCCCCCTGATGCGGGCGACGAGTGCTCTTATCTTTCTTGGTACCTGACTTAGGTATGCTATGGCATCTCCGCGGAGCCTCAATTGATTACTTGGGTGTAAGGAATTGATCGCCTCTGATTGGTTGGATAAGGGTCGCTGCTATCAGTAGGTTACTTCACCTAGTACATAGTATGTGTAGTGTAGGGTAGTGTACTGTACTGTACTGTGCTGTACATACCTATGCAACGAATGAACCAAGGAATCCGGAAACACGAAATCCAGGAACTGGGGAAAGACGAGCGGAGGCTGAGGGGGGGGATGCCGTGGAGATGTCCTTCTCCGGTGACTTACAGCGGGCACTTCTTTACATAACTCCCAGTGGCGTCGCGACCAAAAGTTCGCTTTCCCCTTATCGTACGTTTTATCGCTACTTGCGTTAGGAGCGTTTGAACATTGTCGGAGATGTTCGTTTTTGCGGTTCTATCGAAGTGATTTTGGCTGTTTTGTTTGTCATGTATCAGACTGCTGGATTTCAATTGGGGTGTATGGTAGGGTAGGTATGGGTTTTGAAGGCGTCGATTCATAAAACCAATTGATATCCAAACATGGACGGAGTGTAGTCTGTTCCTGTCTTCCTTTCTTGAAACCATCTTGCAGCAATTTCTTTTCATTTCATAACCTCTAGTTGAGGGTTTTGGTTTGGTTTGTCCACAAACTCCATGTCGATTGAACATTCGGAGTTGATCCTTTGAAGTTGTTCTTCCTTATACTATACTATACGATACCCTTTCCATCAACCAGAAACTCGTTCTTCCATCGTCAGCCAGCAATGGCGAGCACATCATCGGATATGGCTTCAAGTACAAGTCAAAGTACCACCACTTCGAGAAAGAGGATTGTCGTCGTGGGATTGGGCATGGTTGGTATTGCTTTTATGTGAGTTCTCCCTCAACTTAACCCAATGACTCTTGCCTTTGGGTTAGGATTATTTATGGTGGAAGTCAAAGAAAATGACACAAGCTGATACGAATGATAATACACAGCGAAAAACTCATCAAACTCGACACCCAGCGCCAATATGAAATCGTCGTCGTCGGCGAAGAACCACATGTAGCGTACAACCGCGTCGGTTTGACCTCCTTCTTTAGTCATCGCGAAGTTGAGCAGTTGTATCTTAATCCTTTGGAATGGGTACGTTCTTCCAGTCCTGCTCCTCCTCTCTTTCCTTTCCCCTTTTTCTTCTGTCCCTTTCCCATTTCCCTTTCCCTTTCAATCTACCGAAACAAAAGCTAACCCTCAACAGTACAAACAACACCTCCAAACCTCCTCCCTAACGCACCACCTCTCCACCACCGCCCTCTCCCTTTCCCCCGCCACCAAATCCCTCACCATCTCCCCGCCCCCCTCCACCCCCTCCCTCACTACCCTCCCCTACGACCACCTGATCCTCGCCACCGGCTCTCGCGCCCTCTTGCCCACTTCCACACCCGGCCACGATGCGTCCGGCGTTTTCGTTTATAGAACCATCGCCGACTTGCAGTCCCTCATAACATGGTCATCCGACACTCAAATAAAGGGATCAACAGGCGTGGTAGTAGGTGGCGGACTACTAGGGTTAGAAGCAGCCAAAGCCCTAATGGATCTGCAAGTATTCGGACGGGTGGTGGTGATCGAAAGAAACGGCTGGGTTTTATCTCGGCAGGTAGACGGGGAAGCCGGGGCCTTGGTATTGGAGGGGGTAAGGGGGTTGGGGGTTGAAGTTCTCACGAGAAAGCGGGTCAAGGAAGTCGAGTGTGATCAAGGAGAAGAAGCGGAAGGAAAAGAGAAAAAAAGAGTAAAGGGGATACGCTTCGAAGACGGGGAATACCTGGCTTGTTCGACCATTTGTTTCGCGATCGGGATCAAAGCCAGGGACGAACTGGCGCGACAAGCGGGGATTACGTGCGCAGAGCGCGGTGGAGGAGGCATAGTGGTGGATGACTCCCTCCAGACCAGCGCGCCGGACGTTTATGCCATTGGCGAGTGCGCCAGCTGGAAAGGCCAGACGTTCGGGTTGATTGGTCCCGGCGTGGAGATGGCGGACGTGTTGGCGTTTAACTTTACGCAAGCGCATTTACATACGCCGCGCGTGTTCAAGCGGCCGGACCTCAGCACCAAGCTCAAGTTGCTGGGTGTGGAAGTGGCCAGCTTCGGCGACTTCTTTGCCGACCGCGATGGGCCAAAGGAGTTACCGCCCACACTGAGGAGGGAGCTGAAGAAGAGCGGCGGCAAGGCGGAAGTGAAGGCACTCACCTACAAAGACCCCTTCCTCTCCGTCTACAAAAAGTACATCTTTACTTCCGACGGGAAGTACTTGCTAGGCGGCATGATGATCGGCGACACAACCGACTACGTCCGTCTCGTTCCGCTAGTCAAGACCCACAAAGAGCTGGACATTCCTCCATCGCAACTCATTCTCGGCGCCAAAAAGGCCGGTGACGATGGAGACGACGACCTCCCAGACGACACGCAAATCTGCTCCTGCCACAACGTCACCAAAGCCGACCTCGTCGCCCCTCTCAAGTCCGGGGAATGCACCTCCCTAGGCGACCTCAAGTCGTGCACCAAAGCCGGCACGGGGTGCGGCGGGTGCATGCCCCTGGTGACGTCCATCTTCAACCGCACCATGGCGTCGCTGGGGACCGAAGTGAAGAATAACCTCTGTCCGCACTTCCCGGAGTACTCGCGCGCGGACTTGTACAACATCATCTCCGTCAAGCGGCTGCGTACTCTGCCCGACGTGATGCGCGAAGCCGGCGCGGATGCTGATAGCTTGGGGTGCGAAGCATGCAAGCCAGCCATTGCTTCCATTTTTGCTTCGCTGTGGAATGATCATGTTATGAGTCCTGCTCATCATGGCCTGCAGGATACGAATGATCGGTTTATGGGGAACATCCAGCGCAACGGAACCTTTTCCGTCGTTCCTCGCGTTGCTGCGGGAGAGATTACGCCGGAGAAGCTGATTGTTATCGGGGAGGTGGCCAAGGAGTATAACCTCTACACTAAGATTACGGGCGGGCAGAGAATTGATATGTTTGGCGCACGGAAGCAGGATTTGTTGAACATATGGAAGAAGTTGGTGGATGCGGGCATGGAGAGCGGGCATGCGTACGCGAAGAGTTTGCGGACGGTCAAGAGCTGTGTCGGGACAACGTGGTGTAGGTATGGAGTGGGTGATAGCGTGGGGATGGCGGTCAGGTTGGAGGAGAGGTATAAGGGGTTGAGGGGGCCGCACAAGATCAAGGGAGGAGTGTCGGGGTGTACGAGGGAGTGTGCAGAGGCGGGGAACAAGGAGTGAGTGTCCCCCTTGTGATGTTTCTTTTAGTCGATCGATCGATGAAGTACTAACAGACAACAAACAGCTTCGGCCTCATTGCCACCGAAAAGGGTTTCAACATTCTCATCTGCGGCAACGGCGGCACCACGCCCAAGCACTCCGTTCTTCTCGCCAAAGACGTCCCCCCGACCAACGTCATCCCCATCATTGACCGGTTCCTCATGTTCTACATTCGTACCGCCGACAAGCTCCAACGTACCGCTCGCTGGCTTGAGGCCCTTCCCGGTGGCATCGACTACCTGAAGGAAGTCATCCTCGAAGACCGGCTCGGTATCTGCGCCTCACTGGAAGCTCAAATGCAAGAGCTGGTAGATAGCTACTTTGACGAGTGGGCCGAAGCTCTCAACAACCCAGCGATGCAAGAGCGATTCAAGCAGTTCGCCAACACCGACGAGGGCCAACCACCCATGGAAGTCGAAATCGACCGCGGGCAAGAAAGACCCGTGATGTGGCCCCGCGAAGACCAAGGCGGTTCAGCCAAGGCGGATTTCAAGGGCTTGCGAGACAAGTGGTCATCAACCACCTGGCAACCCGTTCTCGAAGCATCCTACTTCCAGGGCGCAGACGACCTCCCCAACGGGATATCCGCCAGCATCAAGCGCGGCGACACGCAACTGGCCGTCTGGCGCATCAAAGGGAAGTACTATGCCTCTCAGCAGATGTGTCCTCACAAGCGCACCTTTGCTTTGTCTGACGGTTTTGTTGGCACCGATCCGTCGCCGTCTTCTTGTTCTTCTACCGCCCTGCCGCCATCACCACCTAGTACTCCTCCCCGGTCTTCATCCCCTGTGACATCCTCACCTCAGTCTCCCACCTCCTCTGCCACACCGGCAACCACAACCTCCTCATCTTGCACTACCAACCCTTCCGGTCCTTCCAGCCCTTGGATCTCCTGCCCCTTCCATAAGCGAAACTTCTCGCTCACGTCGGGGTCATGCAAGAACGACAACGAGCTCTCTATTGCCACATTTGATGTGGAAGAAAGAGACGACGGGATGGTGTATATTAAGCTGCCGCCTGTTGATGAGCTGGACAGGGAATTGGGGACGAAGAAGTGGATGGTGAAAAGGGGTGAGGCCGGTGAAGGGCAATTCAGGGAGTTGGACGAGTTGAACAAGAGTAAGGGGGTAGAGGGGAAGAAGGGGAGGAGGGGGAGGAAGCCGGGTGCTAGCGAGGCTGGGAAGGAGGTTGGCAAGAAGTTGGTTGAGGCGGTTGGGGGAGGGGGCTGTGGTGGGCCTGGGTTGGAGTGGTGATAGCCATGAGGTGGCTTCCATGATGTTTCTGGTCAATGGTTGTTAATTATGGTGGTAAGGATTGGGAGTATAGGTGTTATGACGCTTGGTATTTGAGAATAACCAGACATAGATGCTGTTTGAATAGAATCTGAAGCGTTTCCACTAGGTGTCCGTCTGGAGATGATGGTATACGTTTAACCTGCTACAGTCTTTATGTCTTGAACACTCATCCGTAGGCTGACACTGGTTAGTTGTGTTCGCTGTCAACGCAATCCGAAGGTAGCTCCAATCAGTTACGCCATGTTTCTATGTAGAGTATCGTCAAATCCTCGGAGTTTCGTTCGTGATGCTTGCTCCAAGTGAAGTCCCTCAACTCTGTGGTTGTGATAGGACGGACTTGAACGCAAGGGAACTTCCCCGGGTCCGCGTGACCATCACGATTGTTTCTAACTTCCCCCTTAATATGCCCAGTATCTCCCAAGTAAACAAAGGACTCCTAGACATTCGTGAAGCAGTCAGCATATGTAGTGGACGTACAACTCATTCTGATACCTCTCGCCAGGCTTTCCCGACAAGTGACCAAGGCTGCCAACATTCCACCTCACAACTCCCTAAAATACATCCTATTCCATGTTCGTGGCTGAGAATGCCTGATCTTTAAGCACATTGGTGGTGTGAGCGCTTCCAGATCAGGAAGTCGTGGGGTGGTATCAGTGGCTTGAAGCCGCGCGAGACCTGAGCTCGGGTCGGGTTCGTTGGGGGAGATCTTTCGACTTCCGACGGGAACGGACGGGTGTGGACGGATTGACGGGTGTAAGCGGTCTGACGAAGATCTCTCTCAATCTGTTTCTCGGGATGTTGAACAAGATGATCAGCAGGGAGCCCTCGTCATGATGCAGGGGAGATGAAGTCAAAAGCACACCAGATACGGTTCAGCCTCCCCCTTTTTTTCATCATTGCTGTGACCCGGCAGGCTCGTGTTCGCCAGCGACGTTGACGCCTCATTCGGGCACCTAGGTAGTTTTGTTGGAAGAACGAAATGTCGAGTTCAGATGGTGAAGCTGGGGCAACACCGAGTAGGTACCGTCCAACATGCCAAATCTTTAGTTCACGGCGTGGTAGAATGCAGTGAGGTTGTCGAGAAGAGAAAAAACAGTGGCGGCCACAGGTCCTGTGACGACAGGCGCCTGCCTGGTACCTGCCTGGTACCTGCCTGTATGCCTGCTGTTCACCCACGTCTACGTCGGGCGGTCTACGTCTCTCCGGCTTGCGGCTTCGTTGCAGCTGCTGGCCGTTCTTTCCATTCCATTCCATCCCATCCAGAGGGCACGCCTGCCTAATATGATAACGACACTCATAAGCTCCTGTCTAGTAAGTACCTTCCTTCACTTCCATCGCCGCTCAATGGCCGTTTCAGAGGTCCGACAAGGCGGTCAGTTTACCAATCGTCATAGAACAGATTCTTGTAGGCTCGTCGTACGGGGATACATCACAGGAATTGTTTAGATTTTCCATTTCCCAAAAATCTGCCTTGAATCTGGGGTGCGTTCTATCCCCAAACAGGGCAGGGATGAGGTGTTGGATAGAAAAGATTACGAGGAATTGATAGGTTTATTTAATATCTTGTTATTACTCGAGTTTCTACTACAGAGTGACCCAACGGTACGTAGCTACCGAGTACGGCACTCGATGAGATGGGTGCTCAACAGCCTCCAGATTGAAACCTAACTTAACGGGCAAAGAAAAAGTCGCCTCTTTTCACTGCAAACCTGTTTCATACAACAAAACTGGCTTACTTTTTGCTATCAAATTTCCATCCACCTTAACTGACCCGTGGACATTTTCCGGTCCTTACATTACCCGGCCGGCCGGATCGGATCGGACAGGTCCCACTGATTCCCCAATTCTCAACAGGTCAGATGCCGGTCTAGGGCATAACATCACGGAGTCACAGGACCAGGAACTCAATACCAGACCTTCACAGGATTATGAAGGTATGAACATCTTTCTGGCCTCCCCAAGTACGTAATTACCGAATTCTAACACTACCCTTACGACCCCTCCAACAACGACAGTTATGTATCCAGACTCCGAACCAAATCCCAAGCTCCCTCCGTGTGTTATCCCCTTGTCAACCATGGAACCCACGGTTCATCTCAGGACTCAGTTCCATTCGGTCTTGAACAAATCAGCTTGCAAACCGTATCCCCGGAAGACCCAGTAATGAAACGACGAGGGAGCCAGGCCTCAAGCACCAGATCTAGGCATGACTCTAGTGTAAAGAAAGTCCTGGTGGACATCCCTGACTGCCTGCCGTTCGGCATTGGCACTCTGAGTTAACAACGCCGGTAACCTTAACCGTCTCCCTTTTATCCGGCCCCATTTAGCCTAAGCGCGACGGAAAGGCGATGCCTAATCGTTAAGCTACGGACGGCTAGGGCACGACGGCGGCATGGTATGATTTGAGATTAGACCCGTGAATGAACTTGATGAGCTTTATTCTTTCAGCTGGGTATGATGGGATCTGGACTTTAGCGGTTGGCTCGCTCTATGTGATTACACGCTGATAGGTTTATGCACCTGTTCAGTCGCCATATTTTCCATGCTGCCCGTAGTTGACAGACACTTGCCCGAGCTTTGAACCATAGCGTGTCCAATAGACTCCGCGTACTTAATGTCCGTAAGTAGCTCAGATCCGGGAAAGTGATCACCACCTTCTTGGTTCTCTGCCTGTCGGTACCGGATAACGTGTATGCTGGACCCCTATCTATGCACAGTACCCCGGAAATTTCGTCGATCATGGTGGTCGGTAGGGTCTACACTATTTGGCTGCAAGCACCCAGTTACAGTTGATGTAACATGTACAAGAACCGTTTCCATGGACGTGAAAAGGCAGAAGCTTATTTTGGTTCAATTGTTCCAGACCTGGAGAGAACAACTTACTATGGAGCGCTGCTGGTTAAATGTAGATCGTTATCATATAGGTCAGATGAGGTTCACCATCCAGTCGAAACATGATGGAAAGGCACGGAACTGTGCCAGTGCGCGCTGAGCGTCGCTGTGCCACAGACGTGGTCGCCGAAAGAATGGAAAACGTCTTACAAACCCAGGTCATATACAACTCTCAGGTTGAAACGAGATGAGCCATCAAAGGGACGGACCGTGTGGGTTTCCAAGGCGGTTGACGTTCATGTCCAAGCTTCCCCGAAGGCCTTGCTTGGCACCCGAAAGCTTACTTGAGGCGATATAGATAAATTCAATATCTTTCCAGGGGTAAATATTTCCGACAACTGATACGAATAAAGTATCGATTACTAACTAACCCGTAGGCAATTTACCAAGGAGGCTGAAGGTGGGATATCCTAGACTTAACTTCTCGAAGCATACCGAACCATCCGGAAGGTATCGGAGGATTGTCATAAGTATTGAGTTAACTCGATGGAGATCTGGCTACACAACAGCAGCCACACCCCCATGGAGAGGAAATTAGATGTGCACACTCCTAAGAAATGCGGAGGTGCCATGCTTAGAGATCTCTAGTGTGGAATCCCACCCACTGATAGTTGCCCGGATTACATCAGCTCTTTTGCTCAGAGTACGACATCATTAAGCAAGGCCGCATCAGCAGAGTATGAGCAACAGTACCATTATGTGTCTCAGTACTCTTGGTGTGACACGGTAGATGCGCCTGATGTGATCCGGGGCAGCCACCCGACATCCGTACCGAGTACCACCATGAACTGGCGCGTCTGCCCCCCACATTCGCAGTTCATGGGGAAGTACAAGCATGGGCTCGAACTGCTAGTCTCCGGGTAGTATGGCAGGAATACTAGTGAATCCCATCGCAGGACTGAGCACACAAGAGTCAAACTTGCAAAAATGGAACTCCGGTATCGAAACTGGACTGACCCGCATGGGAGCTTGAAGGCATGGGATGAGTTGAAGGGATTGAGGGCCGTGTATTCTTAACACTCTGGCTCCGTCTTTCTTCTTGTGGCAGTGTCGCGTCGGACCAGTGACACAAACAAGTTGACCCAATGTCGTGCCACAACGGTGAGGAGGTCAAGTGAATGAAATCCAAATCAAACGGCAACACAGGGCTGCGCCATTGACAGGAGAGAAATCAATACTAATACACTATTGAGTCTTGACGATGAGACATCCCAGCCCAAGGCAGCGGGGTAAACCGGGGAGAAGAGAAGTGTCTTGGCCTTCTATGGCCGCTGAAGAACATGTTGTCCGTGGTGGCTTCAAGACAAGTCCGGGGCCATGGAGGACAAGCTCGTCCACATGACGAGCCAAATATATGGTGGCTGAGATATCTTGAACCAGATAGATGACGTGGGAGTCTTTGGAACTGTCGCCCAGCAGGCAAGTTGCAAAGCAAGAGCGAGCGGCGAGTCACCAAGACTCCTGTGGAACGGCCAGTTACCATCGTCCATAAGCAAATACGGTTCTGGAGGCCTTTATGGTAACACTTGTCCATCTCAGGCTTGTTGCTCGAATTCCAGAAAAAGGACACTGGCGGCGGGCCGAGCACCAGTGTAATATCTGCAGTGTAAAGTGCTCCATGAACGGGTCGATGTCTGCGAATTGGCGAGGCTTCGTACGCATGCCAGCGATCTGGGACGGGTTACGACATCCTAAAGATATACTCGGGCTGCACAAGTAATATCCGGTCAGCCCTTTGTACGAACCGTCAGAACCAATCGAGAAGTGAAGCAAGGCCGAACAGGCGATGCGCTCTGAATTCGAATCTAGTCCTCCAAGTCAGGAGTTGAAGTTGGCAATTCAGTGGTAACCCATATTCGTGGACATGAATCAATAGCCGGCGGCTGTTGGATGTTGGCTGTGGCGCTTTGTGGGCCATGTTTTCGCCGTTGCTCACGCCAGACTCGAGGAAGATGGAACAAGATGGTTCCTGGAAGATTCGGGCGAAGAGCCGAAGCCACTTGGTAATCGTTGAGGAGCTGGACAAGATCAAGGAAGTGAAAATAGCGGGAGTGTCTTGCAGCTGGGCAGCCTTTGGTCTGGACATACTAAGCTGATGCCAACGACTCGTTACGCTCGCGGCTGAGATGGTGGACACTACCAGTCATGACCCCACAGCTGGCCACCCCCCTCAACTGGCCACCTCCACATACATGACCAGTAGTCAGATAACATCGAAAATTGGCCATTTTTGCAGCGATTTCAACCATTTGAGATGTTTATTGATTAATCCTGATGCTCATGAATGGTCTGGAGTATTGACTCAATAGCTCTCTCGATGGGTTGTAGTGACGACGACGTCGTCGTTGCCGTAGCAACCCGCTGGCGCTTAGGGGCTTGCTTTAAGGCTTCACGAGCTTCTATAATACTCTCTACACGAGCAAATTTATTATTACCCCCTTCTTTAACCTTCCTTTTACCCTTAGGCTTTTATAACTCCAATTGGGTTTATAAATATTAAATCTAGTAGTCTTTTATAGCGAATTTAGCGTTTTTAATATTAAACGCTTTAACCGACTTAGTAAACACCCTTCTAATGTCACGTATAAGACTAAATATCTCTTTCCTAATACCCTTATAGATATCCCTGGACTTTTGAGGGGTCTAAAAAACGACGTTCCGGTTGATAAGGGCTGTTTGCGGCGGCGTTATAGTCCGGACTAGTTCGTTAGGGACGGCGGGTAAGGTATTGTTATCGAGAATGGCCTCTAGGTTATTAAAGATAATAAATTTGTTTATTAGCTATATTCTAATCTTTTTAAACCTTAATTTGAGGTTTCTAGTATTTACCCCTAATTGTAAGGCTTCTTAGTAGTAATAGAAGAACTATTGTTTATTTATTAGCGCTAATACTAAAAAGGAGGTATAATCTTTAGTTAAATCTCTGAAATACAATTTAACGGCGGTAAATATAGATCGATCGAGTAGCTGGGTTTTATAAGAGGTATAGGGAGGTAAAAAGAATAATTGAACATTGTATTGAAATGCTTTAACGATAAAATCGTTAGATAGATAATTTAAATATTTATTAAGGATTAAGAAACGCTAGTTATCGTTAGCCGGCTTTATTTCTAGTAGATAAACCTCCTTCAACTACCGTAGAGTAATCTCTAAATTACTCCATCTAGTTAATATACTATCGAACTTCTAATTCTTAAGCTTATTATCTATATTATTAAGAAACCACTACCCTTGAAGGTTAAGACCAGAAAAAATAATAATAGGAATTAACCGTTTATTAATAACAGTCTTATACTCGATAATAGATACTTAAACTATTACATCGGTTATTATTAAGTATACCTTCTTTATTAGGGCAGTCCTAAGTACTTTACCATCCTTTAATTCTAATTCTTAAAGACTATACTTATCTATATTCGAAATATTAGTAGGAACGATACCTTTATTGCGAAGTTGGGCTTCTAGAAGGTCGAAGAATTTCGTAAAGGCTTCTTGGGTAGACCCTCTAATTCTTACTAATTCGAGTAGTTTGGAAAGTTTGGTCCTAATATCGGGGTTATACTTCAAGAATCGATCGATCTAACGGGCGCCTAGCTTATTATAATTATGACCGTATTTGAGGATAGATGTAGCGAAACTAGCAATTTAACGACGGTTGGGAATACGGCTAACCTTCTCCTTATTTAATATCCATTTGTAAATAAAATTTTCTTAGGCTGGTGATAGCCTTTAGGCGGGGATCTTGACGTTGCGCTTGGTTGGGATGCCTTTGACGCAATTGCCGAGGGTAGACCGTAGAATCCTATACTTCTTCGCTGCTACACGCTAGGAAAGTCCGTCGCGAATATCCTTAAGCGCTTGCTCAATTAAAGACGAGCTTATTGCAATAGAAACGAACGCGATCGGGCTTGATTTGATGCGATTGTTGTTGTTGGGAGAAGCAGGGTGGTGATGTTGTATGGGGGAAACGGCGGTGTGGATGTGGCCAGTTGAGGGGGGTGGCCAGCTGTGGGGTCATGATTGGTAACATCAGATTTGGTCGTCATTAGGGCTGATGGTGTCTCCCCAGATCAGTCGAGGTCTGTCAGCCCAAGCAACCTCAAGAGCCATGTGTATTTGTGGTAAAACGACCTCGTGATGACATGTCTTGGTTGTAGTACTTCGTTGTCTTGTATCAGCATCGCCAGCGCACAAGAAACGGAGGAGCCTGGAAATACTGTGCGGGTAATTGGTGAGGCGCAACGAATACGGTGATGGAAGCTGGGAAAAAGAAAACTCACAAGCACTGCATGTTAATTGGCGATAATTCCCGGAAATCAAAGAATTTAGCATTCAAACCCAAAGTTTTCAATCGAAAATTGCGTTCCAGCTCAGCCAAAGCAGGAGCAGCCTCTCACCCTTCCCTACATCGGGTAGGTACATGCTTAGCGCGAGGTGCACCGTGACGTTCTTGCCTCCCTTCCTTCTCAGCAATGGGTCTCAATGAGGGGTATTTTCTTGAATTTTCTTTCCTATTAGCAACAAGCAATTCCTATTTCTTGGGGAATTTGAATGTGATTCGTCGCTCTTCCGCGACATAAAGTATCCTGATATCAAAACGTGGTGTAAATAAACTCCAAAAGGTTGGTCAGGGGTAAGCTGATTGCCGCATCGGAGGAGATTTTGGTGGGATGAAGGTGAAGTGACAAGTGACAGAACCCCCACAGTTCCCCTCACGCCCCGCTAAAACCCCAGCTGTTCGCAGTTGCGGCCTGTGCGAGCTGACATCATAGGCGGTCTGGGCCTGGAACCTCCCGTCCCGAACTTCTCTTCTTACCAGTCGGTGTCTTTACCTCACCGACCTGGAGGCGAAGCAGGAGAAGTAGTAATCGGCCCGTCAAGCCAGCCTACCTACCGTCCTTCGAGTCATTATACATGATGATAGAAAGTTTATTATGATTAAATTCACCCATTTTATCTCGCAATCATTCAGCCTCTGTACCTCGATGGCCTCCGTTTCAGCTCGGCACTTTTGCCACCAACAGATGTACCATAACATCAATTCGATGGGGACCATCACGCGTGCGATGTCATGTTCTTCTCGATTGGTTCTTATTCAAGATCTGAGAGAAATAAACCAGAGAATCAATCGAGCCAGTGTCTGGAGATGGTCTCATGGACGCGTGATCGCCAAATGATCTTCCGCCTCTGACAGAGTACCAGTAGGGTCTCTGAGTGTAGACCACTATTACCAGACCAGCCTTTCTATATCCCAAGGCCAGGGTAAGTAGGCAAGTACTGTAGGCTTCCTTTGTGCGGCAGACCAGATGACAAGACTCATCTCGTTTCAGCCCTCCCAAACGACGACCGTCATGCCAGCGGGAGGGCAAAGTGGTGAGCCTGTTCCTTTCAAATCCCATTACCCTCCAGGCAGTTCAAGCACTCAGGACATCACCACCCGCTCTGGGTCACATTAACAACAGTCAGGCGGTAACGATGGCACGGCGCGGCTCACCTATCCGTCAGCACCGAGCAGGAGGGTGGTCATCATCTCATCCGGGGAAGCGATCATGCATTGTCGGCGCATCTCGTTGCCGTCGGTAGTTGGAGTTAGATAATGAGCCGCTGACTCATAACTGATCCTTCTGATTGCGCTGTATCATATACTTATCTTTCGGGCAGGTATTGGCCTTGATTTCCTTTGATGGGAAAAGCCCAAGTGGTGGAAGGTTAGCATCCTCCATTAACCCTAACCCGATCAACAGGACAATTGTTCCTGCTCTGGTGGCCGAAATTTACCCAAACTGTACGTTGGTGTATTCCAGGTAGTAAAATACGCTCATGGCATATCTTCGCAGCGTATCACCGAAACATGGAATGTTTCCTCGAAATCACCTTACTTTTCCGAGGTTTTCGACTTGCCAACCAACAACAACCACACTGGAACTACCTCGGAGAACCTCAAGCCAGAACCCAATGCTCGGATCTCGACCAAACGCACACGGTGAGGCCAAAAGAGCACAGCGCGGCAACCAGCATGAAAATGAGCAGTCACCTGAGATCACAACTCCTGCTGAGCCGCATCCTATCCCTCCCGTGGAAACCTCCGTCCCACGCGGCGGTCACGTCGTGAGTCTTGTTGGTGCTCCAATGGCATGAACTGACAAAAAGGGGGGGGGGGGGGGGGGTGGCAAATCTTGATAAGCGAGGCATTGGGTAAACTTCGACAGCAGCAGCAGTAGAGCGGCCCTGTTTCTAAGGTTGACTTGAGTTTATACTAACCTTCGCTGATACTTTGAGTGCGGCGTAAAGAGGCCAGAGAGGAGAGCTTCCCCTCGCACGTGCTCGCCGGGCATACCTGACCGCCAGCTACCTATGGGCAAACGACTTGATACTATCGGCCGGGATGCATGAGAATCTCCGGGGGAAGGGCTCGGGCTCATGGTTACACGCGGCTGTGATATCCTCTAACGGTAGGTCGCTTGGCTAAAGTTCAGGGCGCTGCTCGCGTTGTGCCCTTCCCAGGACAGCCTTTTCAGCCTTCCTGATCAGGCAACCTAACGCCGCCTTGTATGTACCTTGTCCGGCTCACTGGCAAGGAGTCGCAGTCGGCGGGAGTTGTCACAGCAACATTAATCAACGCCAAGCGCAGGAAATAAAGTGATGAGAAGATCAGCTCCCTGGATCGGCGACCAACCTGGATCACCCTAGGGTACTCAGCTACGAGCTCCTACCCTTTTCTGGGACAAAGCGACAGACTCGGCCGTTTCATCACCATCAATCCCGCAATCACCACCCATGAGGAAGGGCTCGGTATCACTCCCAAAACAGACCATCAAACATCTGGAACTTCTCCACGGTGGGCACATGACTCTATTCAGAGCAGCTGTGCCTCACTCCGTTATCCCGTTGTCCCGTTTCTAGGCGAGCCAGGCGTGCCAGGGTTATGTGCTATGCCCCCGCGGGGGTGCGGAACGACTGTGACGCGGGGCGGGCCATAAGAAAATGTCAGCGTAGCAGTGTTGAATAGTTATAATACATGTCAGCGCGCCGAACGACTGGCTGTTGCCTTGTCCTGGGGGTAGCATCGCGAGTGAGGCGGCGCGGGGTAGCTGGTCAGGTAGGTACATCTCTCAGAGGTACACTGTAGGCACTTAGGGTAGGAGCCCGGTACCTTAATAATTGTTCATAAGAGATATAATGGGAAATTGATTGGGCATTTTATCACCTATATCGAAGAATGCCTAACATATCCAACTCCGAGAAAAGGCCAGGCCTGGGTGTATTGAATGAGCCTTGGACCCTCGAATGAATGTTACAGTACCTAAATCTCTGCTCCCAAGTCCTTTCCCCCCCACGTTTTCCCACAATTCCATCAAATACCTAGAGGTAGCTAAACACAGAGCAGCAACACAAACACAAACACAAACACAAACATGTCAAGTGAAGCTCTCGTCCCCCCCCGCTACCTCTACCACTACGTTACTTTACGCCGTTGCTCTGCTCCATGTTTCCTCTGTCTTTTTCGTGCTTCATCGTAGGTAGACGATAGCACAAAATCGTATCCGCTGGTCTGTAGCACCTTCCAAAGACTGTCCACTTGACTCCTTCACCGGCTTCCTCTCGTAGCACAGGTCAAACACAGGTTAGCACAGGTTCTACTCGGCGCGCAACCAGTCAAAGCACGGGTGATTACAGGACGTGGACGAAGAGTTGGGGTATAGACAGATGTTTTACAGTGTATACGGAGGAGGGTATGGGTAAGCCCCGAGAATATACCTAGGTAGGTACTTGTGGTTGCCTCTAGGTACCTAGAAAGAGAAGCAGTGGTTGAGCTTGTAGCTAAGCGTACGGGATTAGGTAGGGTAGACTTAGAAAAGGAAGGCACCGCATTATAGGACAGGTAACTAACTGGGCTTGTAAATAAAATCGAGTTGTAAATTCAGTTTTAATGTAATAATACGCCATGTGCATCTGGAAGATGTCGACTCCGTTACTGACGGTACGTTAGTAGCATTTCCTCGAACGGTTTTCGTATTCCATCCCCGGGTTCGCCTTACTTTCAGCATCGTGAACAGTCGCTGAACAACTAACATCAGACTCTGAGACAAGCGTTACACTAGGTCTACAATAATCCCCGGAATCGCTACAGTGTCGGCGGAGCGCTTGGCTTTCTACTACCGTAAGCGACCTACGCACACATACCCGACTACCCGACTACCTACCCAACAACCTACCTACCCAACTAACATCGTGACCACCCTCATGATATGTCACATCTGATCACCAGGACCAACCCAGTAAACTATTCAGGGGCACACACCATCACTTTCACTTTCACTTTCACTTCATTACACGCGCCAGCCGCTGGCGGTCCTCAAGGGTCCTGTTTTATGCCCAGACACCACCTCTCTAAGCGATAGAAAATAGGTAGTTTCCTTACCTAGGAATACCTAGCGTAGCGTAGCCTTGCACGCGAAGGTTCGGTAAAGTAGGGTATTCCGAACATGGAAACCAATGCATCTAGAAGTGGTCCGAGAGGTTGTGTTGAGGGTACGTGTCAAGTGAGACATATCACGCTCTAGTAAGGATATCTCTGTCTCGGACCCTGAAGAAGACCCTTAAAGATTCTTCAAGATCACACGCAGGCACACACAAGACGCAGTCAGCGCTAAATAAGCGGTAATTGCGCCCACCGGCTCCTGGTCATATTCGATCGGCGGGGAAAAGAGAAAAAGAAATTAGAAAGGAGAAAAAAAATAAAGAGAAAAAGGAAAAAGAAACAACGAAAACTATAGCGCTACAATCACTACGGTACAACGGGGCGCGTCCTGTCTAGAGGTTAGGTAGAGATCGAGGCGCAGTTGTGAAAAGGTCCGTTAGGACTCCATTTGAACCCAAACAGCCCGCTCAAAGCAAGTAGTACCTCTACGCGATGCTGCCTGGAGGAGGTAGACATTTTGTCTTAGAGTCATTAGGTAGCTAGTCGATGGCCAGTTACACCACATCAATGTGTATGGTAGACCGTATGTAAAATGGAAAAGAGCCTTCCGATATTCTGATAGGGCTGAAAGTCTCCAATCAATACTTACACTTACGTTCATCAGCGGAGACAAAGAGGAATCAGGGTCTTAAGAGGTCTGTCTGTCTGTCTGTCTGGTTTAGGGGACCATCACATGCCCACGCCCACATAAGCCCCATCTTGAATCGGCTATATTGAGCGGCAACGGGGAAAGCCTACCTACTCGTTGATGATTCGGTGTGCATGACTTGGAGTATTTTCTTTTTTTTTTCTTGGGAGGTTTTTCTTTTGACAGATATCAAGGGACCACTTACCGGTGTTCCGTTTCGTTAGTTTAGGCGCCTAGAATGAGATTCGGCAATTGATTTGAATTCTTCAGCGTCGATCGTACCTAATGATACCGTACTAATGTATGGCCAGCGAGAATTAATGCAGGTAGGGACTTGAGTCGTAGTGATCTCCATCAGAGAGACGTCAATCAGATGCTGCAACGTCGGGGATCGGTACTGTGTAGGTATTTCGCTCTCTTTTGAGGGGGATTTTATTTTCTTGGGTGGGTTGCAGCACTCTACCTCACTGCATGCGAGTTATGCCAGCATTTTACTTCTTCCACGCCTTGTCACAGCATGAGACTTCTCCCCGTGAGGGGAACGTGAAGATGTTTGTCGACGTGGCGCGACTAACGAAGGCCTCATGACCAGCAAAAGTCTGCAAGATGAAGGCTTTCTTAAGGTTGAAATACACATCGAGACGGCAACAGTATGTGTGTGTGTGGGCAATGACATGATAATTTCGGAAAAACACGGCGGGACGGCTGTCAGCGTCTCATCCCGAGTCTGACTTTTCTGAATTGTGATCAAAAAGTCAACTGGCGAGCAAGGCATTGGATAATTCCCAAGGTGAGACAGCAAGTACATAATCATCAAGTAATTGCAATTTGCTTCCACTCGCTTTCCGCCGTGTCCAAGGGCCCGGTGAGACTGAGCGAAGGAGACCGTTGAGATGCTGTACTTGTGGTGGGCGAGTACCTGTAAGAAAAGATCTTCAGGAACTTGTTTGTTCCCTCCGTCAGCACGGCGATCTGAGAAGTGATAGAAAGAGACAACTGTCTAACGTCTAGACTACCTAGCAACTGTGGGTGGTTGTGGTGGTGTGTGGTTGTCAGATGATGGATGAGCTAGGGACCGGCGCGTAACCGAATGTCACCCCCGGGGCCCGTCCCGTGATGCCCGCGCCGTTCTTTGCGGGTCAACGACGACCATCCGACCCGCCGACCGTGACCGGGCCAGGGAACGCCGCAACGGAGGTTTCATAACTCCACTTGGTTGAAGTATTCCGATGAAAATAAGAGCCAAAGATAAAATCGGAAATTTTACCGATTATTTTGTGGTTGTCCACTATTTCACCGAGACAAAACTTACCTTACTCGCCCCCCTCCCCACCGTTCGGACCGTTCTACCAAGCGTCCACCTGGCTTTCCATGTTGGTGGGAACGGGGATGGACCCTTTTGTTGTCCAACTCATCACGAGAACTTCCGACAACTTGTCGTGGCGAGCTTGCTTGAAAAGGGACCTTGGAAGTTGGAACCATGCATGAAAAAGACCTGTGATGTTCGTGGCCGTGCTTGTGTAGTGCTGATATTCGCCGCCGGTAACCATCACGGCGTTTCAAGACAGGCGTACGGAGTGTCCAGAGCAGGGCAAGGAGGCTGAGCAAGTGGACAGAAAGGCGTCGCGTGACCTTGAACATGGTCGTGATGTCCGCCTGAAGCTCTGTTCTCGGCCTAGAAAAGTTGCCTGCTGGCCTGCTGTGCTGTGGATGCCCGACGACCACGGGGGAGCGATGACGGGTTGCTGCGGGGAGAGTCTCGAGAACCATGATCCGTAGCCGGTTGCGACTTCATCGCCGCCGGCGACCAGTAGCTGGACACGTATTTGGCCGTCAAGGTCTTCTGCCACGGGAAAGCTCGGGATGCGAAGTTGCAATGGTCACGATGGTTCGTCTTGCATTGACTCGGTGGTGAGGGGTTACCGGGCTGCTTACAGATCAGATTTTGACAAGGCAGGCGGCGGGTCCACCCTGCCTCCCCACGGCATCATTTACAGTACTAACAGCTTCAAACTTAGAATTGAGGCATATCTGTTAGTGATCCCCAGCTCTAGCCCACAGGCTCAAGCGTGTGGCTTCATCAGATAGGTACGCTGCACGCATGCTAGCCATGCAAAACAGGGGAGCCACGGCCAAATTAATTCAAAGTTCTCCACGACAATGGATCCTCGACACGGCATTATCGTAAGATGCAAATCACAAAAGAAAACCACAAAAACCACGGGGCGGGGGGAGGGATTTGATGTGCAAGATTTGCGGGGTCTCCAGTCGGGCCTCCGGTTCGACGGGGGGAGCGCGGGGTTGGCTTGAAGCTTATGCGGGGCGCGGAGGGCGCGTCTGTCACGGCCGGGTGGGAAATGGTGACGGAGGCCTCGACGAAACGGGGTCTGACTTGTAGGCTGATGCCGCCACAACAATTCCTAGGTAAGAGAGTACATGGCATTTCAAACATTTTCCATCTCCCACAACTGCCGACGCCGACATGGGAGTTTGGATGAAATCTGCTAAACGGTGGCAACTCCCATGCTTGGCCCGGAGTACCTCGTGACCGAAAACATATATCGTCAAATGACTGACTAGGGATGACTTCAGATGAGGAACGCAATTTCTTGAACCGCCGGTGCCGTTTCGGCTGTAGTGTACTCTGAAAGGACTCCATAGCAGGCTCTGTAATCCACGGCCTCATCTCCCACGAGCCACAACGCCATCTTGGAATCGCCGTATGTAAGCCTCAATTCCGGGGAGACAGCAGGGTGGGAATTGACGCGATTCAGGGTCCAAGGGTAGTGCGTCATGTGGCACGCTTGCCAACATTCTTACACTAGTGTAGGGTCCCTCAGGCCCCCATCTTTTATTTGACCTTTGCCCGTTCGAGAGGGTCGAATTTGCCTGCGCGTATCAGATGCTTTGATTACCAGACTGTTGGGCACTTTGTTAGATCTTAGCCTTGTAGATCTTGTGAGCTTATTCGAGCAAGTGGTGTAGGGCGCTTGGGGTAAACATAATTCCCCAAGACATGGACAGCAGCAAAAGTCGAGATCGTTCCCGACTCTCGGCGAGAGCCTCACAAGTCACAGCCGGCGCTGCCTAGGCTTCCAGGCCGTGTCGCATCTCACTCAGCCTCAACTGCCGAAATACGTACTATGTACTGAGGAAGGGGTCTCACGTGCCACGACACTGCTGCTGCGTCTTTTTGAAGGTTACCCGTCTCCACTTTCGTCAGGCTCGTTTTTTGTAATTTCTCTCTTTTCCTTGGGCGCTCCCTCGAAATATGTATAGCGGAATTAAACTTCGTATTATAACGGAATCAATTCGGCCTGCCTCGCACCAACAAAACCTGAAATGCTTGCGAATGTCACAGCGGAATGATTCCTCTGCGAAGGTTGGTGATGTCTCATGTTGCGAGTGTTAAAACGACGGATTTGGTAGTTTCCACTATTAAACGGATGGTTTTGGTGTCAGACGGATATTGCCGTGCTCTTAGGCTCTGTTTGGCTGAATGTCATCTGAGTGTCAAAACGGAGCAAGGTGTCCATGTGCCGTTGAGCAAAAGTGGAATTCATGCCATGGAGTTGAAGGGATTCGGGCGAATTCTTACTTTCTTTTTTTTTTTTTTTTTTTTCTTCGATAAAATATTAACATTGCAAAGTCTCAGACTTCAGCAGCAAGTCGTAAGTTACAACCCACAGTTCCACCGAAACCCCGGAATCATCCCACTTTTCCCTCTCCCCCATCGCCCTGGCAGCGGAGGACATCAACAAGAAAAATGCCTTACAAAGACTTGGATACCTTGGCCTTTGGATCGCCCTCCCAAACGGCCGGCCACTTACCGTCGCGTATTCCACCCACGTGTTGCCCTTTCACTCCTCCATAGTGCTCCATCCGTTGTCGTGTCAACTCTAGTGTAGTGTACATAGTGTATCCAAACAGAGTCGCGTGAGTACCTCGCGTGAACACAGCCTGTTTGTGGCATTGCGCTTTGCTAGCCGCGCAGCAGCCGCGATGCCGCGATACCAGCCAGGTCCAGGTCTTCCTAATGAATTTAACCGGCGGTTGATGTTACCGGATCTCTGGATCGGATTCTTTCTGGCGTCTACAAGGTCACCATGGAACATTATTATGGATGGAAATCGCCAATGCAGTAAACTACTGTACAGTATCTACACACTAGCTAGATCAGTGCCGCAATGTCAAATTGCATAATAGCCGCAACTGAACTCGCAGGCAGCCGCAATTTAGGGACGTGACCTGCAGAGAGAGAAAAAAAAAGTTTTCACAGCAACGTGATGATCATAGCAATTCGCTTGCGTGGCATGTTGTACCAACACAAACCAACCCATCGACAGGAATGGACAATCAGTTGTCACCTCATCGCCCAGGTCCAGGGCGTTGGTTCCTGGCGGAAAAGCTGCAAATCCCAACTCGGCATGCAACTCGGCAAAAAGGCCCGAAAAAAAAAAACAGATCAACAGTTTCTTGTTTGCGTGTCTGAGACGGTCGGTGGTCCCTGGACGTTGCATTGGGCAGCCACACCACCACACACACAAAACACAAAACTCTGTACAGACCGTCGGTCCGTCTGTCACCAGTGAGCACCTGTCGCTATCTCGCTTGTCAGCTGCACTGGCGTTGCCTTCGCCCTCGGCCAAGACGGAAGTGGAAGATCAGAGGTTGCGTGGGCTCACTGGGGGGGGGGGGGGGGCGGAGAATGCCGCATATGGACCTGTACGGAGGACATGGTGCGGCGTGGTGTGGGGCCGTGGTGGAGCGTCCCGGTAAGGTCTTGCGCCGAGAGGCCGCCGAAGGAAGGCCGGGAAAAAAAAGAAGTGGATTGTGAAAATGTGAGTGTCTGGATTTACGGACGGACTAACTGCGGAGCACATGCAGCATCCGTCGGACAACATGGCCCGGAAGTCTCTCACCGGTCTCAGCTGGTCGGATACCGCCGCCGCCGCCAACAACAACGGACGGACACACTCTCGCAAGCGGCGGGAGTGCGTGCTTACAAAGGAAACTATCGATTTCGCGACATGAACAACAACACGGCCGAACACCGCGGGAGAAGCAGTGGAGCCACCGCGGGAGAAGAGATGGAAAGTGCTAAGACGCCCGAAAATTCCCGGACTTGGCTGCCTTTTCCGGCTATGCCTCGGACACTACACTACGAGTTCACCTATCGCGGATTTTGGATATCCCCATTTCCCATCGATTGCTCGGTATTCCTATTTTGTCATTGCCGTAAGACTTGTTTAGTCGTTCAGCTACACCAGCATCAAACTCGCCTTCGCTTAACCTTTAAAGTTAGTCTACATAGTAGACCAAAACACTAAACTAACCCACAAGATAGCGAACTTCTCGAACATTTCCACTACCAGCTAGCGAACACTCCGCTATTAACATCATTATCATCAATCTTTGTATCTGTACCCTTTAGCCCTTCCACTTCCTTTGCTCGCTTCCTAACATCGCCTGCCGGCCTGTAAATTATCGGACATTAATTACCTATGACAGTCCTGCCAACAACTTGTCAAAAGAATCCGCTAAAGTTTCGAGACGGCCCGACTTTTTCTTACTTCTATATCCACTTGTCGCCGCCGGAAGGTTTCCGTTCGGCCCAATCACGCCTGTCGGAGGGGGACTTGGCCTTGTACTTGCACGTGTAGGAATCTTGGCGCGTATCTCTCTGAATATCCCGTTTTTTTCTGTTACTTACATTCGCTAATCTGCGATTGGTTGGTTGGAAGCTCGCAAAGCATGTACATGTCAGGTACGGTACGGTATGTTCCGATGTGACTTCCTTTTCAACGTCTGATATTACAGGATCTGATGTACATATTTGCAGAATAGCCGAACGAAAGTCACGTAGTGAAGTACACCTAGTAGAGGAAGGACTGGACGAAACAAAACATCGATCGGTCCGAGCTTGTTGTTTGGAAGTTCGGGACGGTAATGGGTCTCGATTGAGTATTTCTCTACGTGTAGAGTAAAAAGCATGTACATAGGCAAGACATGCAAGCCGGCCGGTCATATCGTCCCCGTAGCATTTTTGCAGCTTGGCTGGTTTTTTGGTTCGTGGTGTGATAAGATAGGATAATCGCGATTTGATCTTAGATCTATCTCGGCTATGTGCTTGTTTTTCCTCGTGTATCTGCATATATGGTACCTATCTACGTCCGCGCCGCGTTTTGTGTCCGACTAGCATTGCAGGTGAAGCATGCATGCAAGAACCATAAGTGTAAGTAGGGTAAGGTACCTTTACAGCCTTGTAATCTACCTCCAGTTGGCTGGTTGTCTGTCTGTCTTTCTTGATCTAGACGACGGGGAGGTGCGTGATGTACGTGTTGGTAGCCGATCCGAATCAACATTCTACCCCGGAAAACCGTCATAGGATACGGAGATCATTGCCTTTCGTATCAAACAATGATGCTTTTTGTCCGAATGGTTTTCATCATGTGCAAGAGGACTTACAACATGTTTACCGCACATATGTACATGTACATATCTTTACATACGGACGTAGGGCTATGTGCAGAGCCGACTGCAGCACACTTGCACGCTCCGTATCCGATTCCGTGCACACGGGTTTTTGTTTTTTTTTTTTGCATGACTGACACCTCTACTTCAACGTCAGTCAGTCAGTCAAGAAGTCCCAATACTCGACCACAAGATGCCGTGAGACCAACAAGTACCAAACACCATATGACATTGCACGACCTCTGGCGGCACGGTGACACTATGCGTCCCCGGTAGTAGTAGTGTAGTGTATGTAGTGAGTGTGGTTCACGTAGCAGAGGTCCAGACCGCAGACCAGGTTGTTCAACGTCAAGAATGCGGGGGTGGAGACCAGACGCAGATCCTGGGGACCCATTATGACGGGGACACAACATGGCGAACTGGTCGATCATCAGATCGGGGACTTGATATGTTGACGACTAGCGACAGGAATCTTGAGGCAAGTAAAGCTAGCTGTTGACAGTTTCGCCTTGCGCCCCTTCTTTCGATACGAGCGGCGGGGAAGGTTTGACGTTACAGCTGCATGTAGATAACCGTCATCAGGGCCTAACTTGGGGTTTTCGCAATGATTTTGGTTATGTCTGCCACTTAAACTTTTCTGTTTCCTCGGTTTCGATGGATGTATCTCTCTGACAACGCGAAGTTGATATGTCGATGTTTTACCCCATTTGTGAAGTCGGAATTTCGTACGGGAAGGTGAAACATAGGTAGGTATCATTCCGATGGTGATCAGTTCCTTCCGTTTAATAAATATTACTATAGATGTTACAAAACGCAACTTTTTCTTCTTATCAAGTGCAATTCCCTTTTCGTTCCCCGAGCGTTTCGCCTCAAAGGAATTTATTGGCATCCCCGAAACTTAATAGAAGATACCTATGTATCGTATTTCACCAGAAATGCTTCCGCGCGCAATTCGCTGACACGCAGCCATTCGCCATCATACAAACACAAACCATCAGCTATGCTTCTTTTTCTTCCTCCTCATACCCAATCTTGGGTACGTCGTTGGGCAGCAAGACACCAATGTGTCGGCGGCTCCTTGCCTGCGCAATTTACTCGGGAAATGCCATCTCATCCACATGACCCCGAAAGGATTTCATGCCCGTTCGCAAAAGTAGGACGGATCCGAAGCGAAGACAGGAACGGAAGGTACAGGTTCACTCCGGGGTCATTTCGCGACAGATTCCTTTTTCGGGGGAATCACTAAATGTTGCAAAACACCGACCGAACCGAGGATCAAAAGGTTGCAATCCCGATGTGTATAACATGGGCTAGAAATATGGGGAAAAATGTGAAGCATTGAGGGTGGAATTGTTTAAATGAAAGGAACGGACGCATGGTAATCTATTCCACGTGTCCTGGTGGGACAACCTATCCTATCTGGGGAAGTCGGAGATACCTAGCGTAGATACCTAGGGGGCTGTCAATTGGGTTGATAAGTAGGTAGGTAGGTAGGTACTTGAACTGGAATTTGGAAATGCGATGTATTTTTCTTATATCTCTTCAAATGCGTGATTGTTTCGTCATGGTCCGTCCGTACTTTCAGTCTCAGCCAGGCAAGTGAAGCTGAAGAGTTACACTTAGTAATTCAGCAAACCACACCTCCAGCCTGACTAACCTCGGATGTCGTCGTTGTCAGGGGGAAAAAAAAATACAAAAAGAAGCAACGAAATACTACCGAAAGCCAAGGAACGGATTTTCGTCTTCCGGCATGGTTAGTTTTCGAACACGAAGACACCAACCACCATGGCATGTCGCCAAACCAAACAACGAAAAAAGCCCAATAGGCCGAAAAATGAACAACAGCGATATAAGATTTGAGAAGAGAAGAAGAAGAAGAAGAAGAAGAAGAAGAAAAAGAGTGTGGTTGCAAGTCTGTCTACTGAACAGGGGTACTTTACTGGTCGCCCTGGTATTCACTTTGTAGTCTCCTTTACTAGTAGCAGCACATCCTGCACAAAAGTGCGTGGAGCGTGGGGGACATATATATCAAACGCTAATAGTGCCTCGTTGGACCTATAAACGCATACGCATTCACAAAGCGATAGTTGACTATAAAACCGCTATATTGGCGGACTGCGACTTTGCTTACACTTGGGCGAATAATATGTATGTGTAGCATATTTCAGGTGGTGGTTTTAGCTTGGGATTTGAACGAAAGAAAGCGCCGTTTAGGAAAAAAAAACGAAGATAGGATAAATGCCGGTATATATCTTGTCTCTGTATAACTTGGTTAAACTTAGCCAAGGACGGACGAGCAAGTCCCTTAATGAATTTAGTAAATTCAGGGAACAAAGGGCAACAGAACAGCACGGGATAGCGTCCGGCACGCGATTATAACAAGACTCATATATTCTCTTTGACGGCGGGAGATCCCCGTGCAACTCGACCGACCGAAAGATCGAGGGCGGCATGTTCAATTTCATTTGACTGACTGTTCCGGACAGTCAAATAAAACAGTCATTTCACCCCTTGTGTTGGAAGTCGACATTGGAAAAGTTATGGTATTGTCGAATTTCGAGCGCACATGATAGCGTCCGTCCGTTCGTCCGTCCAGGGCAGTCTTGTCTTGTATAAGTGGCAATCAAGAGAAACATAGCTTATTCCTTGTCCCTATCAGTTGTCAGTTTTGATGGATGAACGAAAACGGAGGGTACACAGTAGTAGATCAAGTGTAGAGGCAGCTACGTACCCAGCTCCCTGGATTTCCGTCCCTTTTGATTCAGAATTCAGCTGGTTACTATGGCTGTCATTTCAGTTCAACCGTCCCACACCCACAAAATAGAGCGAGAAATGCAGGATTAACAGGTGACTTTCCGACCAACCAGGTTACAGTTTCTCTTCTCCTGGATAGCATGTCGGAAGGTGGTGGTTGCCCCCCTTTTTCCGCTTTCCCGTTTTCCCGTTTTTTTTTCTTTTCTGGGTCCCCAGTAGCGCAAAAGTAAAAACGAAAAGTGAATTTGGGGATTTGGGCGTGTTAACATTAAGCGACACAGTGCTGGCTTTCATGTTTGTTCCGTCGTCGCACTCCGTTTGACATTTGACGATTACCGAGCCGTCAGTCGTGCGTGCACCGGACGAGCCTCCCGCCGTCGTTCGAACAAAACAACACGCACGGGGAGAGTAAACAGCGCCGGCCGTCCAGGTATCCACTTCCCCGGACCTGGAGTACGATTATCAAGCGCCCCCCGAACCCCCCGCCCCCCCCCCCCCCCCGGGGGGAATTGGGAGGGGCCCATGTCGATGGACGTCAGGAACGTGTGTGTGTGCGTGTAGATTCCCGATAGAGTCGTTTGTGAGCAGAGCAAACATGGGGTGACTTTTAAGCCCTCTTCACCACCTCATTACACGGAGCCTTGTTGTCATCGGTCTTTGCTCCCGAACTGCCGGGTATGATTATCTCTAGGAATGGGCTTGATTAGGTGCCTCTTCATCTCTCGACGGCAAGGCTAGAAATTTCAGAGATGCAATAGGTCGCTCTGCAGAGGCTTGCTCATAAATGAACGGCTTCTCGTTTCATAAGGCCACGCAAAGCCACGCTTCTGATCGCCGTTACCGTCCGTCTGGAAGCGACAGTAGGCATTGCAAGGCAAGGCAGGGCAAAGGCAGGCAGGTTAGGTCATTTCGAATCAATCGTGATCCTACCGCGGATGATGCGAGCCATCCGAAGCTCCACAAACGCATGTAATCGCCTGGCTTGAAATTGCAGCATTTCGAACCCGGACATGACCGTTTGGGAATACCGGGGCCGTACGAGATAAAGGCATGGTGGTGAGGAAGGCCGCCCGACCGACCGACCGACCGGCTCTGTCTCCGATAGCAAATAATCCCTATCCCTGGACCGCTGTGATGAGACTGGTGCTCACGTGCCGAGAAAAGGAAAATGCCTCGATCCCAGGCAGACTGCAGGGTTGGATAAGTAATGCTTGAACTTTCCTGGGAGGGAAAACGAATATCCACCCCCAGAACAGCGGTGATCCACAAAAACCCCGAGGCTAGAATTGATGCCGAACTGCGAATGGCCCAATGCTATGGCGTCGAGAGCACTGTTACACCACTCACTGTACACTAACAGAAGGCGTGGAGAAGGCGTTGTTGTTGACAATACCCGGGGAATGGACCGAGCATTACGCTCAGCTATCTTATCAAAGTCAAGACCAACAGTTACAGAGGTAACAATTTTTTATTTATTTTTTCCCCTTTCTTTTTCATACGGAAAAGAAGAACAGCGAGAATACCTACATCTGTCAGATGTGATCGTTTGCAGTGATGGCAAGACGCTATCGTATCCTTCCGTTGCCGGAGATCCGAATTTCCTTTTCCTAGTGCGTCCGCGGAAGTTGAAGTTTTTCGCCTGGCGGGTGCGAGTCCACTGCAAATCATCATCAACCAGGGACACTGCGAGCAGTGAATGAATGAATGATACAGCGTGGGGTGCATCGTCGATTCGCATGTGCCTAGTTGCACAGCGCAAAAGACAACAAGAGACAAACAGACTCTGCGATGATATGTTCAGGTCCAGAAGCTTGGCTACCTAGGTTTGTTGGTCAACACTCTCCAAGACATGATGAGTGCAACCAACGTTCCGCGGCAAAATCCAGACTTCTCCCCTCGAGGCTGAGGTCATTGTCGAAACGTGGCTGGCCCAGAAGCGTACGGCATCCTTTTGGTCTTTGGCAAGACGGCATCGTGATGGTGTCTCGATGGCCGACTGTTGTCCAGTGAGAATGGGGTTGGTATGGCAACTGACCAAGTCCCCGCATATGAGATATTACTGGAACCGGCCGCGTACAAATCTCATGCCATTGACTTGCCACGAATATGCTCAGCGGACGGATGGTCCCCCAACAAGCCGTACCAACAGAATGAGGGCTGCCGTCCGCATGCGCCTTTGCGAAAGACACATTGTGAGATTCGCTGCATTGCGGTTTGAGACGGACGACGTGAGGCCGAATGTGTTGTTTTACTACGGACGGGTAGGCAAGGTGGGAGTGGGTTGTTGGCAAACGGAGCCGCCTGCGCCCTGTGATGAGGAAGAAATCACGAGGTCAGGTGGGAGGCATCAGGGAGGGGCAAACTGCCCTGCCCTTGGCCCCTTGCTGCCCTTGCTTGCACCGCCAGACGCCGTCACAATCACAGCCGTGCCGTGCCAGCACTCTGGATGGCTTCCCGCAGTCAGTCGATTCGTGTTCCATTTCCATTGTTGGCCGGCGGCGGGGCGACCCTATTTCAGGCAGGCTACCATTCTACCTACTCGACAGCAGTGCTGGATTGAGACGCAATGAACGACCATGGAGTGTAGTCTAGAATCTAGTGTACATAGGTGGGTATGTATGCGGAATGATGGGCGGATGGTCCCAATCTTGTCCGTCAGTCTCGTGTGCTTCTTTGCCATGTTGGTTGTTCCAATGTCGCCCTGATGAGCCTGGGGGGGGGGCCGGAAGCAGCCATGGAACGTTCGTTTGGAGCCATGCAGAGGGCATTGACAGGACCATTGACGATGAGGACTCGTGATCATCGAGTTGATCTCCCACAAGGGCCTCACTGCCGCGGGTTGTTGAATTGCCGTGCCTCTGGTGCTGAGCGCGTGCAGACATGGCGAGCAGGGGCAGGCGTCGCAGAGGCAGATTGCAATGCGGGCCAACGGTACGGTACCTCTGCTGTAACATTGGGCGACAGGTGTCCGGCACCCGCCGCCGGTCATTGCATCACGCACAGACAGGAACAGAAAGCAGGTTTGACACTTGGCAGGTCCCTGGTCCTGAGCACTGGCCACTGCACTCACAATTCCCAGGAACGCCCAGGAACGCTGAGGTTCAAGAGAGTCAGCGTGGCGATTTGCGGGGAAGAAGGCCTGGGCTTTCTGTTCCAGCTTTCGAGGCCATCTGACTGAGCACATGACTTTGCCGCTGTCCAATTCGAAAGGGTCCGTTTCGTTGCACCTGACCTGTGTGTGCTGATGTCGGTCGATAGGCCGAGCTGGGAGAATGATCGACCGTTTTCAAACACTTTTTGGGACGACGTGTTGGCACAGCGAGAGACAGAAACATCGATGACAGCCGCCAACGGCCATCCATCGTGATTGATATGAATGCATCGGCCACAAGCATGGTGACAATGAAACCTGGATTTCCGGGAGATCTCCCCGAAAAGCCCAACTCATCATCATGAAGAGGGATGGCAATCTGGGAATCCATGTGGGAGAATACACTTCCCATTCCAGCATCGTGGTGGTTGCCCAAAGCAACCCATCATTCCAGTTGAAGCACTCTACTACTCTTCTAGTGTACCGTCGACATGTTGTCTGTCCCTGGCTGGGCCTGAGCAGCCGACCGTTTGCGATGGACACCCAGGCACGCCGCAAAATGCAAACCGTGGGCTGGGGCCGAGAATGCTCCCGAAACCCCACAGTTGCCTTGATATCCTGAATTGGTCTAGGTGTATGTGGCAAGCTAAGCCTCATGCGGTATGTTCCCTGATGAGTACTGCCCTTTCAGGTATTGGGGGCGGATCAGCCCCAAGCGGAAGAGATGCTGCCGTTGAAGGCCCTGAACCTGGGTTCCAACGCCAGTCGTTGATTGTGCCCTGCCCCAGATTTGATGCTCCGTCGGGGCGATTGATGCTGATGCAATGCAGAGCGGATTTGGACTTGTACACTACAGTTCGTTTGGCATGTCACTTCCACTACGACGCCGCCCTGACGGTCGTGTCAGACTGTGGTGTTGATCTCGAGTCCGTGATGCTGTTTTTGAAGGGATATGATGGCCGCGGCGATGCACCTCATTACAAGCCACACAAGTCCAACTGCCTTGCCTGACATGTGGAGTTTTGGCTGTGATTTTCGTCCGTTCTAGTATATCTTGCTGTGAGTTGGACTTTGCTGGAACTGACTGAGTGGGTGAGAGCATAAAATCGTGGTGGACACGGGGGCAGCAGAAAACGGACGACAGTGCAAGGGTGACTGACTGACCGGTACGCTGCACTGGTCAGTTACCCATTTCGGTTGGCTCATTTTCACCTGCGTACCGCTCCGTACTCACGTACCGTAACCCCCGCCGCGCCACCACGGCACCCTCCACCCTCCAATTCGGCCCTCCCATTGCGATGCCCTGCACCAAGGGGTCGCCGGTACGTATTGGTTGTAAGTACCTGTACTGTAACCGACCGACAACACAGTTGCCCGAGCAAGGGACAAGGGGCCGAGGGTGGACGGTTACGGTATTGGAACCAATTGGCCTTGTTCACCGCGTCTTGTGAGCGACCAGGCAGTCTGGTACTGGCCAGTGGCCCCAGGGCCCCGTCGGTCCCATCCCGCGCTCCAGTGCCAGCACAAGCAAAGTTGGATGACCGCACTCACTCACTCACTGCAGTGTCGGGCAGTACCTAGAGGTACGTACTGTACCGAAATACAAGCAGGATGAAACCAGGACAGGGCAGTGGAAACCAGCGAGCAGTCACTTGGCCTGGGCCTCCGCTTCGATTGACTTTGACGTCCACCCCTTCCTTCCCTGCCAATCCCATCCAGCCTGCCACTGCCAGTACAATTAGACATCAATATCCTGTCCCCCACCACGCTCCGAATCCCTCTCCTGTTCGACCTTTCTCGTCTTTGTCACCATCTCCCGTTCAACACCAACCACACAACATCACAACACCCCGGACACGCATTGGTTTCCAACATCCCGACTCCGACAGCTTTTTAGTAATTACTAATTGCTGCGACTCCCACCACACGAACCTGCCCCTGCGCTTGGTAACTGTGGAACTTGAAGGAAGCACAACGACGACGACGACGACATTCACGATCTCGACGACAACGCTTCCAACGATTACTGAAGGGAACAAAGGGTTGCAACAGAAGGGAACCTCAACTTGCATTTGAAGCGACTCCTGCGCCAACACTCGCACTACTCACTTTACCTTCCATCGCCGACATAACCAGACCCACCACAGCCGGCCACGAAGTCGAAAAAAAGCGGGCACCCCCCAAGCGAAGAGATTTACACACTTGGGACAATCCGTCACGAACCCGTCGACAACAACCATCACAACAACACCAATTCCATTCTAGGTCCCAATTGTCATCCGACACTTGCTGCGGAGCCATCTCAACTTGGGTCCACTTTCGGTGCAGAGCAGATCCTGATTCCACAAGCACTCCAGGATCGCATCCGCTGAAAGCAACCGTGAATACAACTTCACAAACAACTCACGTCGACAGAGACCATCAAGCAACAGCCGCACCAGACCCCCAGTCACAGGCTCGACTTTCGCGGTCGTTTTCGCGAAGTTAGCCGTCACTATTCGCCCTACTTGCACTTGTGCGTCTGCTCGGACCCAGCGAGCAGCTTCCCCCCTCATCATGCCTCTGTCATTAGAGACGCCCGTCCTGCAGGTCGACGCCAATGTCATCCACAAGGTCGACACTACCAACCCCGCCAACCTGTTTAGCATGTGGACAGGTACGAGCCCAGTCTCCTGACTCCCTGCCCTTGACCTACCCGCATGGCGCCACCCCTGCGCCCCAGTAGCAACTGCTAACCTTGGACTCTTCTCCCTCTCTCCAGTCTTTGCCCGCTGCCGTGACTCCGTTCACCAAGGCCGTCGCCTTGAAAACCTGAGCTGGCGCCTCTGGAACCGGGAGACCTTTTGCTGCGAAAACGAAGTCGCCGACATCGAGTCCTCTGCTACCTGCCAGCCTCAGGACATCCAAAGGTATTCGGCTGGCGAGGACATGCCCCAACTGTCTGGTAGTGTGGATTCAGCTTTGGATGAGGAAGCCGTTGACTTTGGCAACGACACCGACGCCGAGCCTCTCGAATACCTCCGCCCCCGGATACAACGGCAGGACTCGTGCGCCAGCAACCGCAGCCGTGGTCGTGAGCGTCACATCACCTCTGGTGATCTCGAGAAGATGGTAGTCTCCATCATCGAGGCCAAGGAGCCTTTAAACGCCCCTCTCCCGAGCATCACTCTCGTCTCACCTCCCGTCGAGGAGACCAAGCCTGCGCCTGTCATCCACCAGCTCGAGCGGTCCGGGTCGACTACGACAGAGTCTTCCTGCAACACCTCCGAGAACCCCTCGATGGAGTCGCTGCAGACCGCTGCATCTACCGAAGCTACCACTCAGCTACGACCCACCATCGTCACTCGTGGCTTCTCTGTCTCGCCCTCTCAACTTCCCATCATTCAGCGTGCATCCGCCCATGCTTCTCGTCAGCCCTCGCCGAGCGTGATTCCCGAGCCTACCGATGCTCCTGCTGCCAAGCCTGTCCAGCCTAAGAAGCAACAGGCTCGCTTCGCATTGGGCGCGTCCAACTCGGGCGACGATTCCTACACTGACCGCGAGCAGAGCTTCGACCACAGGAAGCAACAGATCCCTCTTCCGCCTAAGAAGAAGATGTTCCAGGTCGGCAGGGGATCATCTGAGGAGGAGGAATCCCTCCGGGACCTGAAGAGAACAGGTGCCCTTAGCAAGCAAGTCGTCATCCAGGATAGCTCGGCCATTAGCGACGACTCGGATAGCGACTATGTCGACGAGAGCGCTATTGATGACGATGATGACTCGTCCGACTGGGAGGATTCGGTTGAGGAAAGTGGAAAGTCGAGCGTGGATGACAAGTTCAACTTCCAGCGTGTCGACTCCAAGGTCAACCTTACTTCTCGGCGGTCGCTCATCACCCTGATGCTGCACAACAACACCCGGGCGCAGAAGCTTGGCAACATCGCCTCGCAATCCACTTCGGCTATCCCACGCGCCCGTACTCAGCTCAACGGACCTTCTATGGTTCCTTCGCCGAACGACTCGGACGAAGCGCCGTTGATGATGAGAGGCAAGCGTGCTCCTCCTATGCGTCCCATCAACGAGATTCCTAGGTCTACCGCCCAGCCCATTAACGCGGTTGCCACCGGTTTCCACCACCAAGCTTGCCTGTCTCCTCGTACCACGCGGCGTAACATGCTTGCCACCGAGCTGACCGAGTCCCTTCGCCGTAACCTGCTCTGGGAGAGATCCCACAAGAACTCGACGGCCACTGCGGTGCTCAAGCGTCGCCACACTTCTCAGGATGTCGCCAACCTTAAGCAGTATCCGGAGCGTCCCTGCATGAAGGACGACAACGACAAGGAGCGTTGGGACCAATATTTCACCAAAAATGCTTATAGCGGCTATCACGCACAGGGTTGGTAAACATTTGTTACCATCCTACATTACTTATGCACATATTCCAACACAACAAAAGATACCCTTGGGGCCCATTAACTGGGTAACCCAATTGGCAGACCGGTTCGGCTGCCGTGTACACTTGATTCCAGCATTGGGAGCGACACACATTTAACGAACTTCACTGCATGACCCGGCCGGCGTTTGATTGTTTTTTTGATCTTCTTTTGGGCTCGCGCATTGTACGCATCAGTTTGGCCTTAATATTCATGTTGGATCTGGGTCAAATGGTCTTTCACGGGCGGGACAGCCTTGGGGATTACAGGCTGGCGTGAAACGGCCGATGTTTACAATGATGGCATCACTGCCCTGGGTTCATCAAAGGGAAATGGGGGGAAATGGGGATAGGCGGGTTATTTACTATTATGCATTGGTTGCGGGCTTCTGAAATCAAATTTTCTCTTTCTCTTTTCTCATCTGGCAACATTGAACGGCGTTTCTTCTACTTTCTCATCACATGATACCAAAGCCCTTGCGCATTTGCCGGGGTGTTTCTTCTGTCTGTCCTTCGCGGTCCCGATGCAACATGCAGACCGCTTCTCACAAAACTTGTTACCTTTCACATGTTTCACACTAGTGACTTTCCCTTTTCATGACAGGCCTTCTTCGCGCATGGATGGGGGGAGGGGCGGGGGAAAAAAAGGACAAAAACGAAACAGCTGCTGGCTGCGTGTACGATACTTTTGACTTTTTGAAGAAGCTGATCGGTCAGGGCGCCGCGCTACGCTACGGTCAAATCCGTCGGCGTGGTTCGCGCTTCCGCCCAATCTTTTCTTGACAGCAGAGCAGGCTAACGCCTAGCGGAATGCAAGTTGTTGTGAGAAGAAAACAAAAAAGGAGAAAGCGAGCGAGCGAGCGAGCGGGCGAGCAAAACAAAACGCGAAAACGCGAAATTTTTTCCCCGAGTTCAAGTGTCTACACAAAAAAAAAACGGATAGTGATATTTCATAATAATGTTGGTGACGGAAGGGCAAAAAATAAAACGGCGGCGGCGAAGGACGGACGAATGCCATAATGAGCCGCTTGGTGTCTTGCTTGGGGTGCAGTGATGGAATAGGACCCCAAATAGCAGCATGCTTATTATTATAATCTGTCTATCTCTTGGGAGCAAACCGAACATTTGCAAAAGGATTTATCAAATCATTTGTTGCTAGAAACTTTTTTTTGCATGTGAAAGCCGCTTGATTTGATTGATTGATGCTATGTTGTGTGTCGGCGGGGGTGGTGTTTGGAGCCTCAAATAATGGCGGCGGTTATGGTACCTAGAGGTATGTATTCAACTGTTACACAGGCCAGGCAGGCCAGGCTAGGCAGGGCGGGGCAAGAGGAAACGGATTAGCATTAATAGATAGGTAGGTAGCTTTATTAGCACCATGTACTTCTTTTCTTTCACGTACTTACTGCCCGTTAAAAAGGCTGTAGACTATCCATTCGTCCATTCATCTTCAACATTTCACACTACACGATGGGATCATCAAGATTTGCACATTTCTCTTAATCTTGGGGGAAAAATAAATTGGTTTACATAGTAGGTACGATCTTTGATCTCCAATGCGGGAATGCGGGGGAAAAGTGGGAAAGAAGCGAGACGACGAAAATCGCGTCAATCGATAGTACCTGTATGTAGGTTCTCCTCATTCTTTCCTTTTTTTTTTTCCCATCCGAAGAAGAAAAGTACGACGTTGGGACATACATACATAGCCGATCTTCAATCCGATATTCTCCGGGCGGCCTTCAATTTTCGGAGAGCTTCTTTAGTCTACACTACCTACCTAGGTACTGTACAAAGCAACGACGAAAGACTAGCCGTTGAGCCAATAAAATTGACGGTCATGAGAAAATGTAATGTTCTGGATATTCCCCGAATGCGTGGGATCTTCATCCCCCTTTTACGTTGTTTCGGTAAGTATCTTAATGTACGCTGCTTGGCCTTTTTGTCTCAATTACCCCACGGGGTCATGTTAATCTGTCCTTGGGTAATTCAGAGAGAGAGAGAGAGAGAGACGACGTTTTGTTGTGCGACGACGACGAATGACGAGGCCGGAAAGTTAGTCAGTTAGTTAGTTCAGGGATACAAGGGGAAGCGGGCGGACCTGAGGTTCGGCGGTCGGACACTCTTGTTGTCGTCGGGATCACGATGAGTAGGATGAGAAGGGATGAAGGAATGAAAGTGAGGGGATAAAAGCCAGGCACCGACCGCACGGGAGAAAGGGAGAAATGGGGGCATGTGAAAGTAACTGAGACTATCTTACCTCTCAACCTATCTACCTACTACCATTTACCATCTATTATCGCCAGCGACTGCGAACGGACACGATTTACATTTAGGTATTGTCAAGGTTCCAACACATAGGTACATACGCACAAAGGGAAGCTAAGAAGTCGATGGAGGGTTGCCAAAGACGTCATACTTCAACCACCTGAACCGTCGTAGTCGCAGCGCATCTAAATCGCAAACTCCAACCCAGACAACAAACACATTCACCGTTCTAGACGGAGTCTTTGCGAGCGCTCTACTTGCCTATCTACCAACCCACCTACCTCTACCACCTATTTGTTGCATTCAATCCTCCAAAAGGGAGGCAACGCTCACCGCTTAGGTTAGTTAACTTGCCTAGAGCACTAGGTAACTTCCCGCGAAAAAGCCGTAAACCCTCGCGCGTCCCGGGATACCGTTTTCTGTTGGCGCCGCATGCCGCTTTTTTGGGGGTCGGGTCGGAGCTGTTGGTGATCGACGGCAAACTACCCTTTTCCCAGTAGACTAGACTTGTAGAGTATGGATAGCGCGAAAGGGGATTGTGGTAGTTAGTTGCCAGGGCGAGAGAAACAGAAAGAAAGTCCAGACATGGAGAAGATAAATCGGCCGGGTGGAAAAAGGTTTACCAGACTATGCTAGGTACTTAGGCTGGGGACACCTAGAACGGTGGTCGGTGGACGATAGGGTAGGTAGATAGTCTACTAAGAAAGAGTAGTAAAATAGAGGGGAAGATTACCGGGGCCGGTCATTTTCGTGATTTTAAGAGGATGTAGCAAATAGCGGCGCCGGCGCTGGTCACTGCCCGGTCCGTCAGCGGGGTGCGAAACTAAGTACTGTACCTACCGGGCCGTTCTGCAGCGTCCTGTATGTACACACTGAGCCGCTTTACAGGTTTGAATTGCTTCCATAACGAACGGGGCGTCTTGTGACTTCATGTCCTGCCAGATATCGAGTCTGGAAGGAATGCAAAAGTCAAAAGATCAAAGAGCCCATGTCACTATCTCACCGCCCGCATCACCACTGCAATCACCGGACAGAAAAGGACGGACCGGTATGATGTAATTCATCCCATATCTCTGTACCCCAACTTCACATGCCAAATGTCACGATACCCAACTTCAAATCTCCAAATATTCTTCATCCGATAATTTGGAGGGTAGATGCTTCCTTTGTTCTTGAGCACGCCCCCAAAACAAAGGCCCTCCACAGAACCATTTCGTCCAAGGGTCGAAACTACCGGATTCATCCACGCTGTTGACGGGGATTCCTCCGACATGAATTTATAGAGCGGATGGGCTTTGACACTCCTAGAAACTTCTTCGATTGTGCTATTGGCGCGGAGGGTAGTGGCTTGGCTGGTCACATGTGTCTAATGTCCGATTACTTTGTGCACTCGAGATAGCCTAATGAAGCTGAACAGGGAAATTTTGGAGCGATTCCCAAGCAGCGCGGTACGGACCGGTTTGTTAAAGATAATTACTATATTGTTTGCGGAAGAATGGAAACAATTCAGTCGGTGCCGGTGCATGCGTGCAGGCGATGCAGGGCAGCACTTAACCCTAACCCAGGCATGTCGGTCGGCCCTGCATGTGGTGCCTACGTCTAGGTACCTCACAACCCATATCAGTCAGGGCCGACGGTACCTCTATTCCCAAAAGCATTATTCACTACTGGAAACCTTGAGAGATACTGTAAACCTTTAGCCCTTACATCTCCATTCGGTGGTGTCATTTTGCGATTATTTCCCATGGTCACTCCAAGGAACCTATCACGCATCTTCACCCGTTCCCCTTTGTCACCCATCACCGCTTCCTCCCACCTGACAACATGCCAAACCTATCGCACCTTCCATACCCAAGAGCCTCCCTCACATATGTACTTACTCTGATCACTAAGCCCTTACCAACTTCACATTCTCAAAGAAAAGACAGAAGTGGCCGCCTCGCAAGGCACAACTTGATCAGTGCGGTCCTTTGACCATTGGGATCTGGGGAATATTACCTAGTCTCAAAGAGTGGTTGGAGGTCTAGACCTCTGTCCGTCTTTGTTTACATTTCGAGAATGCGGAACTCGGTTCACGTGTGTCGACTGAACGGGCGTCATCCCAGCCGTAACCGGGGCCGGGGCGGGACCGTAAGAGGAAGAACAAAAGAAAAACAGTTGTAGAAGGGGAATGGAACTACGTCCTATCTAGTTTTGTAGGCCGTAAGGCACGTAGGTACCTAAGTTGTTGGATAGTGCGTTCATGTTGGCGGAAACATGTAGCTTCAAAAGATGATCGAAAGTTTAGAGGTAGACAGGTTTCTTACTACCTAAAGATAAGTTGGGGTTTGTGTGATCCTAAGATGAAACAACAGTTGCAGAAAAAAAAAAAAAAAGTACACATTCGTTCTTCAATATGATTTGCATTGCCAACACACTCGTTAGTTATGTAAATTTACACGAGACTTTTTGATGCTTTAGGTATCGTACAAGCTTTTGTGGCAAGACATCCCCTCCCCTTCCTTCGCCTTGGCACTCAAACGCCTGGAACTGACACTTGGCGATTAAAACATTGATTATGTCCACCTACGTAGTAGGTACCTATGCCAATGTGTTTGTCAGTTGCGTTGGAAAACATTTACTTTCCAATGTCTGCCGTTTGACGAGTCAACTCGAGTGGACGACCACACCATCAACTCTTTTCTCAGTGCTGTCGTGACTGAAACTTCCTGACACATGAAAGCACACGTCCAAGCACACACCAAACAAATCCACGTGGGAATCCGGAGGGAGAATGATGGCATATATGACAGGGCGCATAGGGGACACAGATTCATATTTCAGATGTCTCTGACCTTCTTCTGAATCAGGGAAGAGGAGAGAAGTTCTTCGTCAAGTGTGTGATGCACAAGGACAGCGGCGACTTCAATGTAATGCCAATTCGCTGGGAGTGTCAGGGACTTTACGAAACACATTGAAGCAAAAGGCCAAGATGAGACGGTCTGGCGTCCCGAAGCCGAACGAGAAAGTCGGCAATCGGGGAGATCTGGTAACATGTGATAAAGTAGAGATCGTCCAGGAGCGTGTCTGTGTGCGTGAGGATGTTTTGGACTAGTAGGTTTGTTTTGCGCCGGGTCCAGTCCGCTCGGCTATCCAATGTAAACTTTCGAACTCGGGCACATCGAGGAAAGAAAAGGAACATATTAAAATAAAATAAAAAATAGGAAAAGGTAAAATAACAAAAGTGAGAGGTAGCACAAAGTACCCCCCCCCTTTCACGAGCCAAATGGTGATCCGGACCCAAAAGCCCCAAAGTGGATGAAAAGCACAAGCCATGCCTGCCACATGGCCTTTGTCGTTGTCCGGGTCCGGTCCGTGTTTCCATGTCCAGACCAGACCAGATCAGATGTCCGTCCGCTGTGGTATGTGCCTGGCCCCGTTTAGTCTCGTTGGCGATGCACGGAGATAGTTTGACCCGATTTGAAACACACCGTTAGTCAGTCAGTAGTACTGCTCGGAAAGGGGTACAGTAGGCACGTAGTTATCTGTTCATTGCAGTTTCCTGATTGCAGTGTCGATACATACACGGGCATTTACTAGAAAGAAAAGAAAAATGGGCCCGAATCCTTCAGACTGAATGGACCTACATACATACGTAGAACTAGTGTGTAGAGTGTAATAGAGCCGAAAACCCACCCTTCAATACCTTAGCTCGGGCTCACTGACACGAGACTCCAGGGGACGGACGGACGACGGACCAGATGAGGTGGCTAGAATCGATTCTTTCCTCCTTCCTAAAACGGAGGACCCGAAATCAGGGGCGCCCGGTGGGACCTCTTTGGGTTTTGCTCTTGTTTTGGAATTGTTCTGGAAGGCTTCCAGACCCGGAGGTATTCGTCATTGTACACAGTCCTCTGTCGCGGGATGGAGGTGGGAACGTTGGCCGATATACCGCCGCCGCACAAGTTGCACACACCTCCTCCGTTCTGGTTGGATATGTAAGTACCAACCAGTACAGTCGGGTTCAATGCCGACGTTGACCGTGGTCAATATTGCATTGGAGTTTACTCAGTCAATGCTTGCCCCAACAGTTGTTGTGTTCAAGCAGTGGTACTTTGACCTACCTCTCGATGTGGGTTTTCGGTGCGTTGGCAGGCAGGCAGACTTTTTGATCGATTTCACTTTGTTGGTCACGGTACCCAACCATGCGAGTTGAAGAATTGGCTGACATCCGCTCAAACCACACTGCTCGTCAATCTGCCTCCCCAACAAGCGGTCCAATGATGTGTTTGGGATTGTCGAGAACAGTTAGTCGTGTCCTCTGAGCTGGTAACGAACTGGTATGAGATGTGAAGACCCTGAACCGGACGACTGGTTGACACATGAGGAGATGTTTACATTGCAGACAGGACCCACGAGACTTTTTGGAAATTGCAGGCTGGGTTAACTAATATCTTGGCGCCGGCAACGACGGGGATGTTTGTCGTGGGATGGGGGAGTAGAGGTAGGTCTGTATGGATACATCATCTCCTGTTTGCATGGGTAGAGAGGTGTTGTCCGCATGTATCAAGGTGAGAGATATCGTGATGGCCACCAAAGGACCGATCAAGGAGGGAGAGTCCAAGGAGAAGAAGGACCGACGATGCGACGCGGTGTATGTATCATGATGGTCAAGGTAATTGGTGGTTGGCAAGTCTGCCTCATCATCCCACCGACTCCGAACGTCCCCGAGGCCGGCCGCCAGTGTTTGAAAAAAAAAAAAAAAATTGCAACCGTCACGATCCATTCTTGTGCATGGAAAACGAAGGAGCTGAAGGAGGAAGAGGATTCGATGGAAAGTCGGTGAACAAGCCGGGCCGGCATCACCTTCCAACCACGATGCAAAAAGTTAGACCGTCGCCGACAAGTCTTATCGCCGGCAGCTGCAGTGTAACCCTCCCTTGGCTGGAATTCAGCGGGCCGGATAAATCGACTGTGTGCCCAGATAGATCCCCTGTGTGGAACCGGTCTAGCCAATAATTCACCCATGTTCTCGCCCGCCAAATTTCCACTAAAATGACATGTGTGCAACATCTACACCAAAATTGCATAAGGATTTATACAAACGAAGCTTTCTAAGATGTTAATTTATATGAATATACTAAAATTGTAGAATTTATATTTATACTAGTATATATAATCTATTAGTATTGGTACTGCTGGCTCGACTGGGAGAATTAGTATAGTTGTTGGGATTGTTGTTGGTTAAATAGTGGCGGTTAGTAAGGATTTAAATATAGTAGCTACTATAAGGGAGGGGGGGATATTATTAACTAGCGGGTAGGTTAATAATATTACTATTATTAATACCCTTAGTATATTAATAACGGCGGCGGGGGTTAAATTCGTTATTATTAATTCGTAAACTCTCGTAACCGTACTTCTAATTGTGCCTCTCTTTGCTATAATTCTCTTAATTTTTAGAGTTGTATTTTTAATATCTCTATCTCTAACTTTACGTTTTCTATTACCGCTTTTACCTCCTACTCCCTCTAATTAACTAATACTATTTTAATTATTCTCTTCTTTTTAAGAAACTATAAAGCTTTAGGGGGGGTATTATAAAATAAATTATATTTAATATTAAAGGAGGGGAGAGGAGGGAGCGTAAGTATAGCGGGTATAGGCTAGGCACTATTACAAACCTTCTAACGGTTAGTAATAATTAGAAGAGGGTTTCTCTCTTTATATAATAATAATTATTCTATAAATAACAATTAATAAAAGATACAATTAGTAAACGTACTAAATAAATAATATTTAAGAGAGGGATATTTATTTACCGTATTTAGTTTAAGTAACTAGTATTTATCGATTATATTTTGAAGTATAGTACTATTTAACTATATAATATTAATTATTTCGTACTAATAGGGTAAGTTATATTATTTTATAAAGTAAGTAGAATACTTTACTTTTAATCCCTCTAAGTTAGACTATAAATATTTAAGATTATTATTAGCTAATTAAACTTACCGTTAGAATAATTCAAAGTAAACGAAGCTAATAATGAACTTTAAGTCCGCTAGAGCAGTATACTTGAATTTCGCTATATCTTTTAAAATTTAATATATATATTTAATTATAAAATTCTCTTTCAACTATTTGAGGGTTTCGGTAATAACGCCCAATAATTAATTGAAATTAATATAACGATTTTTGAGTAGTATTTTTAAAACGCCGTAGGTACTTTTTATACGGGAAGTTATTCGTATATTAAAATTACAGTATAATTTAATAGTAAAATAAGTAAATTCGTACCTTAATAGGAAATAAACGTAGAGAAAGTAATCGGTTATAATTATAAAAAGAGGGATTAGTAATTATATAAATAATAATAGAAAAATATAATAATTATACTTTTTTACTTAGGGAACTCCTTTAATAATACCCGTTATTACTAGTAGAATCCCTCCTCTATATTAGAGTATACTACTACCCTCTATACGGTTAAGATCCTATCTGTATTATTGATTTATTTACGGTTTAAACTATAGGGGGTACGACTATTAATAGATTAAATAAAGGGATTCTTAATCCTTAATTCGAAGTAGTAATTCTAATTATCTCTATTTAATAATTAAGTAGCAATTTAGCGAATAGTAGAATCTTTATTAACAAGGTTAATATCTATATAATAGTAATCCTTACAGAAATAATTCCCGTTACTACTATAATTACCTAACACTATACCCTTAAAACTACCCTCCTACTTCTTTTTAATATTAAAAGTAACATTCTTTATTACATATTAGAAATAAATTTAATACTAGGTTATAGGGAAGATTGCCCAGTAAACTCTCTTATACATTTTATTATAATCGATAATAATAATTAAAAGTTGGAAGATACTATACTTTAAAAGTATAGTATTAATTTACTAAAATACCTATATAAAGTATACCTCCTTCTTACTACTTAATAAGTAATAACCAATATTAAAAATTATATATATAGTCGTTATCCTATATATTTAAAAAAGAGGTATATCGAATTTATTAATTTTATACGTATAATCCAAACTTATAACCTCAAAATTCTTCCTTAATTAGTCAATACACTATAAATAAATCTAAAAGATTCTTTTAATTAGACTAAACTCTTCGCTATTGTAATAGTAAACTTTATAATAAATCCCCTCTATTAATTATAACTGGTCGAGAAATTATTAGATTAGTATAAAGGCACCTACTTACTTCGTTCTATTGGCTACTAGTACGTTAAATATATTACGTTGCGTAATAGCAATACTAAGGAACTTATTACGGATAATAAATATAATATTTAATAAGGAAATCTTTAATTGCTTAGTTAACTAAAGGATATTAACAGTTATTTCCTTTATATAATATTAGTAACAATTAATAGTAAGATAATTAGCGTTATTAGGGTCGAAGGGATAATTATAGTCTCTCCTTATAAGGGTAAATTATTATACCTTAATTTTAGTATTAAATACTAATTTTACTTACTATTTATAATTTCTTTTTATATTCGCTACTAACAGTCTTTAAAGCGGAGCGTTATTATTACGTTTTTTACCCCCGTATTTCTTCGTTATAATATACTTAATATTATATTAATAAAGGAATTAAATTATTCCTTCTATCCGGTAATTATTAATATAGTTTTTAGAAATACTAAATTTAAATTATTTAATAATATTATTAATTTCTCTAATAGTAACATTAATATTAATCTATTAATAAAAAAAAAATTCGGCGAAAGTAAACTCCTTCTTATTAACCTCCTCCTTATTTTCTATCTCTTTATTTTAATCCAAAGAAAAATTCAATAACAATAACGAATTTAAAAAGTTTAAGGGGGAACAACGGCGGTAGTAAAATACAGGGATCGCTGGAACTAGGGCC